CACTCTAGTTGATCGTAGATTGTTGTTTGTTCATTTGTTGGGTTAAAACATTTATGAAATGTGTATCCCTCTGTTAGAGACCTTGCCCCTTCTTGAGACCTCAAGTTGAGGTTGGCCATACTGGTAAAATTGCCCTTTGAACCTTTACCACAGGGGTCGGCAACCTATGACACGCGTGCCAAAGACGGCACGCGAGTCGATTTTTAATGGCATGCTGCTGCCTGCCGGGTCCCAGCCGCCGGCCCCGCTCAGCCTGCTGCCGAACCCAGGCTGGGACCCCAGCAGGCAGCAGCGTGCCATTAAAAATCCTGCCCTCCCCGGCCCGCTCTTCTCCGTGCCCCCACCCCCAGCGGGGGCAGGGTGAAGAAGCTTGGTTCTGCCGGCTGCTGCTGCAGGGTAGGCAAATTCCCCCTCCCGCACCTCTTCCCCCAGTGTGCTGCATTACTGCCCCTCCTCTCCGTCCCTGCCGCCGATCAGCTGATGGCCCTTGCAAGGGAGGGGGGAGAAGCGGAATTGGGGAGGAGGCGGAGAAGAGGTGGGGATGGGGCCTTGGGGAAGGGGGTTGAAATCAGGGCATATCCCCTCCAGCCCCCTGCCCTGAGCTGCTCTGCGCAGGGGGATGGGAGCACCCCCAGCCCCCTCCCCTGACCCCTACACCCTACCACACACACCCCAGCCCCCTGCTCTGACCCCTGCAACCCCCTCACACACACCCAGCCCTCTGCCCTGCACCCCCCCACGACCCCAGCCCTGATTCCAGCACCCTCACACATACCCAGCCCCCCCCACACCCCCCGCCCTGACTCCTGCACCCCCCCCACCCCCCCGCATTCCCACCTGCACCCCTCGCACCAAATGGAAGCTGCCAGGTAAGCACTCCACACCAAAACCTCCTGCCCCAACCCTGAGCCCCCTCCCTCATTCTAGCTCCTGATCAGATCCTACACCCCAACTCCCAGCCTGCTCCTTCACCCCCAGCCCTGTGCTCAGTGCACTCCCACCCTCAGCTCAGTGCAGAGAGAGAGGAAGAGAATGGGCTAGAACGAGGGAAAAGGTAGGTTCCCATTCTATGTAGGCAGGGCCGGGATCCCAGACTGGCAGTGGGCTGAGTGGGGCTGGCAGCCAGGAGCCGGCGGCTGGAACCCCAGACCGGCAGCGGGCTGAGCAACTCAGCCCACTGCCGGCACCACTCAGCCCACTGCCGGTCTGGGGTCCTGGCTGCCGGCCCCTTGCCAGCCGGGGTCCCGGCCGCAGGCCTCACTCAGCCTGCTGCTGGCCTAGGTGAACAGAACCCCAGGCTGGCAGCGGGCTGAGTGGGCCAGCGGCGTAAGATCAGCATTTTAATTTAATGTTAAATTAAGCTTCTTAAACGTTATGAAAACCTTGTTTACTTTACATACAATAGTTTAGTTATATAATATATAGACTTATAGAAAGAGACCTTCTAAAAAATGTTAAAATGTATTGCTGGCACGTGAAACCTTAAATTAAAGTGAATAAATGAAGACTCGGCACACCACTTCTGAAAGGTTGCCGACCCCTGCTCTACCATTTATCTATCAAAAGGGCTTTCATTATTGCCATCTCATCAGCCAGGAGAGTGAATTGAATGCTGTTCTGGCTAATCTGCCTTTCACTTCTTTTTATAAGGACAAGGTAATTCTCGGACCTGATCCCAGATTTTTACCTGAGGTAGTGTCTGATTTCCATATCAATTAGACCATTAATTTGTTGTTTTCCCCCCTAAGCCACACTAATAAGGGGGAATCTGTCCTACACACTTTGGATGCCTGATGAGCCCTCACCTATTATCTGGACAGGACTAAATTTTGTAAATCTTCTTCTAGATTCTTATGCCAAGAACCACATGAGAGATGCAGTTTCTTCCCAGACTTTCTCGATGGATTAAACAATTTATTGCTGAATACTACATGCTGGCAAAAGCTCTGGTACCTGCTGCTATTTGATTGCATTCCACTAGAGTCATGACTACTTCCTTGGCTTGTCTTATGCAGGTGCCAGTTGCTGAAATTTGCAAAGCTGCAACCTCGACTTCAGTTCACACATTCACTAAGCACTGTGCCTTGAATTCAGCTTCTAGGGCGGATACCAGATTTGGCAAAGTGGTGCTTCGGTCTCTATTCAGCTAGGACTCTCTGTGCCTAGTCTTATGAGTCTGTCCCATAAATGGAAATGTGCAGAGCTAGGCAAAGAAGTAATGAAGGTTCTTCAAGTGATTGCACATGTCCATTCCACTGTAGGTGTTTGTGCCCTCCAGTGCATGGCTGTTGGAGAGATTTTACCCTTAGCAGTACCTGTCAGGGTGGCTCCAGCACATGCTGCTGTCTCAGGCACGCTGAGCAGGCATAAAGGACCAAGCTGCCACTGACCCTCCTCAATTCCTTCCTACTACTCATGACAGTTGTTGGAGCTCCCTATCCTTGCCTACACAAGTCTTTAATCTACACTAATTATACACAGGTACTATTTACAGATTTTGACTAGAGTGGAGGGTGGGTGGGTTGGTTGTTGTGTTTTTATTGTTTTCTGTAGTTCCAGCACCCAGTTTAGATACTGGAGATATGCTGTACTCTCTGGGTTTCAAGCCTTGCCACTCTTGTGATAAGGCAATGCCTAATAGTGACCCTCACCCCAGCTCTCTTAAGTGTTTGAGGGAGGCTCATGTGAATGACATGTGTGACATCTGTAAGGGCTTTAAGCCCCATTCCATCTGCTGATGGAGTTGGCGCCATGTCCTCCATCTGAGCCATCTACCTCAGTTCGGGTACCAAGCACCTCCGTGTCAGTGCACGTCACATGTTTGCCTCTTACTATGTAATCTCTCAGCAACCTAGAGACTATGCTAAATTTGGATGAGTGGTCCTTCCGCCCCTCTTCAAATAGACTCTAAACTCCTCTCCAGATGGGACTGCTTTTGAGTCGCCTACAGTGAAAGGGACATAGGCAATCACTCGAAGGAAAAACTGTTACTAACCTTTCTGTAATTTGTTCTTTGAGCTGTGTTGCACGTGTCCATTCCACAATCTACCCTCTGTCACCTCTCTAATGGAGCTGGTCTGGTAGGAAGGAACTGAGGGGGTTGGGGTAGCTCAGCCTTTTATGCCTGGGCAGTGTGTAAGAGACAGCAGAGGGTGCTCAGGCCTCCCCATCAGGTACCACTAAGGGTAAAAACTCTCCAGCTGTGCACTCGAGCACACAAACACCTACAGTGGAACACCTCTCAAAGAACAACAGTTACAGAAAGATTAGTAACCATTTTTTACTTGTAACCAGAGTTTGAGATGACTCTACATGTTCACACTTCCCACCCAGCTTACATCTCTGTTGGAGTCCTTGTTTTGTTCTGTCTCTGGCTTTGTGGTGGAAGGAACTGAGGTGGGAAGGGAGCTCAGACCCCTATCTAGCCTTGCCCTCAGTACATCAGTGACACCAGGGGGCGGGGGGGAATGAGAGTTCTCGAGCTGACACTGCTAGAAGGTTCTACCACAAAATGGTGCAGTACTCCTAAGTGTGAATATACTGAGCTAGGTACAAGTTACAAGTAAGTAGCCTTCATTTTTGTAAGCACTTGAATATTTCTTGAGGGGAGCTATCCTTTGAGTTGAAATTAATACTTCCTGTTAGCAGTGCCAAAATCATATGCATGGTGTTAAAACAACACATTTTCTGTGTTTTGAGTTACTAAAACTACATGAACTGATAAATCTTTATGTACTGATTCAAACTTTAAAAAAAAGCAATAACTTGGGCAACTTCTTAATAAGTGACAATTAAAATAGTGCTTTAACATTTTAGGGTGTTTTTTTTTTTTTAACTGGTTTTCCTATGGCATTTAAACTAATAACTGTCTTATTACAGAGCATCATTATTGGAAGTAAAGTCAACTGGGCAGAGGATCCAGTTTTAAAGGCAATTGTTCTACAGCTTGAGAAAAATGTGAACTGTATCTGAATAAGCCACAAGAATTTTTTTTAAAGCTATAGTTTTTATATAATATGCATCAATAAACCGGAGTTCAACTAGACTGACGCAAGTAATGGTAACAATAGCAAGACAACGTAAGAGACATTGAAAACAGGACCTTTCTACAAGTGCATTTCCTCTGCTATGGTGGTTCATATGTGCAATTACATAGTTGTTGGTACAAAACTGAATCATTATTTTAGGGGCTTAGATTGTAACATTACAGTCTGATCTGAGGTAAGTACATAGCTGCTCAACCCCAGGAGCTGTCCAGGGAAAGGACTGCAGCTGTCTAAGTCCTGTCTGTCCCTCCACACCAAGGAGCACAATGATCTGCTACTGGCTGGCACACTGAAGGGTGGAACCAAGGTTCTGCTCTCTTCCCCCCATCTTCCTGCCTGGGAGTGGGAGTAGCAGTCCCCCCTGGTACTGTTCCTCCTTGAAGTGTGACTCTCACTGTGGGATAGCCTGTACAGGAGAGTAAAGGGGCACCTCACTCCCCTTATTCCCCTGCATCCTTTCCTAAGGACATGTCCCAGTACTGCACATTGTGAAAATTGTATTCATACAAAGGCTGTGTAGTAGTTATTTACAAAGGCTACCATTGATAACCAAGGTAGCACTATGGCCAAAAGTGTTGTGTATGATTTAAAACTTTAAAAAGTTGTGCTCATTTTATTTATGACTTCAAAATTACTCTAAATGATGATCAAAACCAATTTAGTCTGTGCTATATCTGCTACTATAGCTCTCTAACACCAGCTTCAATAAAAATTGTCTGTCCTGAATCACAACAGCCAACAGAGAGAAAATGGCGGTTGTGCAGAAGGCATGTGGAATTTTTATATAGGCCAGTGCCTGAGTTTCTGAGTTGAGGACAAAACTCTTAAGATGAGAATGTGACTTCTGTTTTTGTTAAGCTTCAAAATGCAAAAATAGATTAAACTATATACTGTAGTTTTTAAGTCTATTTCTTAGTAATAACCTCAATAAAATGACTTGTGCTGACTGCTTCCCTTTGTCTTTTCATGAATCTTTCAGTTCTTCTGAATTGGTGATAATATAGTAAATGGTCTGTATATTTGAATGTTCCCATGTGAAGTAATATGTATGGATGACTTGGTGCTATTTTAGAGCTTACTGACTTCCTTCTGTTGACTCAGTCAGGCATGTTAGTTTGTATTTAAGTGACTGCAGACTGAAAATTCAGTATCTTCCATTGTTACAGTTGTGTTGGTCCTAAAATATGAGAGAAAAGGTAATTAAGGAAATGTCTGTTCTTAGACCACTGTCTTCTGGTGAAAGATACCAGACCTGAAAAAGAGCTCAGTGTAGCTTGAAAGCCTGTACCTTCCACCAACAGAAGCTGGTCCAGTAAAAAAATATTACCTCAGTCACCAACCTTGTTTTTGTTGAGAGAAAAGGCTCTGGCTTATGGTTCTTTATTCTCCTATCACCTCCAGTCTTTCTCCCCTCTGTCCCCACACCTGTGCACTCTAAATTGGTATCTGCCTCCTCTGATTCAGCCCCTTCAAAGAGCACTATTGTAGAGTAGAGACAGCAGTAATATTCTCACCCTGAAAGAGCAAGGACCCCTCAGTGAAAACACTGTTGTCAGTGGTAATAGCCTCCTTAAATCAGAGAGAAAATGCAGCTGTCACCATTTTTGGCAACAGAACACCCTTCTTTGAAAGAAAGTTTAGTACCCCTGCTGTGGGCTGGGGCCTGTGAAAGGAAACTGGCCCAATGCTCGTGGTAATAAAGCTTCACTTCTCTCAGCCCTCTGGAAACAGCTGCTTCACAGAAGAAGCCATCAACCCTCTGGCCATAGGCTCCTCTGGAAAAAAAAAATGCACAGGCCTTGTCATTAGAGGGAAGTGTTAGCTAAATTAAATCTGTCAAGCTTAAGATAAATTTATGTTCATGTTACTAAGGTACATGGCTAAAATTAAAATTTAAATAAGCGTTTTTTTACCCTAATGAGCATTGCACTGATTATCACCTCCCTTTAATAGTAGCAGGTGTGAAAAGTGGTAAAGCTCCAGGACCTCCATTTCCAGCTGAATTTTAGGAGGTATTAGTGGGTCCCTTGAGAGGAAACTTCAATACCATTCTATTAGGGGAGGAACTTCCACAGCCTATGAAAGAAGCTACTGTGAGGGTCTTTGCCAGCTTTAGGGAGAACCACATCTTTATGCAGCTCCTGTTGACCCCATATCACTGTTGCATCATGACAAAGATTTTAGGAAAATTACTAGTTAACCAATTGCAGTCAGTGTTCTCACCTTATATAAATCTAGATCAGACTGGATTTATTAAGGATAAACAAATGTAAGACAACATTTAGAAAGTACTTGCAATCATCCATAATGCCAGAACAAAAATAAATCTTTTGTTATGACTTGATGCAGAGAAAGCCTTTGATTGACTGGAGTGGAACTTTGTTTCAAGTCCTGTCCTATATGGATATTGGTCTCAGTTCCTTAAATGGATAACTGCTCTTTACACCACTCCAAAAGCAGCTGAGAGTTAATGGGATTAAGTCTCCCCTGTTTGAATTACACAGAAGGACTAGGCGCGCTGTCTCCTTTACTTTTTGCACTGGTGCGAAGGAACAGTTAATGTGTCATAAGAATAAAACTTGCAGGAACACATCAGAAAATAGGTTTATATGCAGATGATGTAATATTGTTTATCTAATTTTCCCAAAAATTAGTTTTTAAAGAAATCCAGGATCTTGGGGAAATGTCTGGATTTAAAATGAATTATACCAAATCTGAAATGCTAGCTATAAGTTTTCCAGACTTTGAAAAGTCACTCTTCCAGAAAATATCTGGGTACAAAGAGGTAACCAACTTTATAAGATACCTGGGAATTCAAATCTCAAACAAACTCTAAGAGCTCTATGATTTAAATATCAAACCATGACTTCAGCAAATGAAAAAAGATCTGTAGGGTTGGGGGAAGTCTGCCAATTTCTTGGTCGGAAAGAATTGCTGCAGTCAAAATGAACATTTTGCTAGTATCTTTCTTGTTTCAAAATATTCCTGTAATCATTCCAGGTAAAACCCTAGCAGCAATACAGAGCATGTTGTTAGAATGTATATGGAATAAGAGAAGACCAAGAGTAAGTGCAGACATTTTGTACTATCCTATTAAACAGGATGGACTTGCTGTTCAAAATATTCTATGGTACTGTGAAAATCAGCCAGCCCAAAGCAGTAGTGGAGTGGTAGCACCCTGACACCGCCAAACACTGGGTCTTTATTGAACAAAAAAGTTGTTGCCAGCATAAACCTCGCTAAACTACCCTGGATTAATTAAAACAAAAAAAACACCCTCCATAAATGTATACATACCTTTTAGCAAAGACTCTATGGTTTTGATATACAACATCTTGTCTCTTTTTTTTTTTCTTTCCCAATGACACTTATTACAAATAATCCAGATCTTAACCAAGTGACAAACGAGAGCATTTTAAAGATTCAAAGAGCCATAGAATATATATGGTTGTCCAGCTCTTCAGTAAAGAAACTTTTCTAACTTAGTTAGAGATCAAAATTAACTGGCCCACTCTTGTGTAGCACCAGTACTTTTGAATCAGGCAGTATGTCTCTCATCTTTCTAGCAAAAAATTGTTTTACACAGAGAGAGAACTTTAACAGAAGTGATGGCATTATAACTTATTTGGTGTATAGTCTGCTCAAGCCAAGCTACAGCATTCTTATCAATTATTTATGTACTGAATTGATAATATTTACAACTTTTCTAACAAAAGTCCACGTACGACATACGGGGAAAAGGACCTGTAGAGATAAATTACTCCGGAGGCATGGAAAAGAGGGCCAGCAACCTTTGTTTGTAGCACAATAAAATACACTTTATTTAAGATACTTGTTCAATGGTACCTCTCACCAGTCAGGTTAAAATGTAGAGAAAGATTGAATAGGGATAAATGTTGGAGAAATTGTGGTGAAAGAGGAGATTTTATGCATGTATGGTGGACTTGTCCAGTCATTAAAGAGCAATAGGATGCAATCTGTAACCAACTATCACAATTTGGTGGATATATTACCCAATGATCCTTTGGTAAACTTCCTAGGGCTTCCTACTGGACATGATCACACAAAAGGAAATGAAGAATTGATCTTTTGTCTGCTAATAGCTGCTCAGCTATTGATAGCATCTCATTTGAAAAATAAAAATAGTCCAACTAAAGAGGAATGGTTCAAAAATATGGGAGATTGTGGTTATGGAAATATTAACATGCCAATTATGTACCCAGGAAAACAGAGGACAAATAGATACTTAGGTATTTGATTACTTTGTATTCAATATTCCAAATACATTCACCTGCAAAAACACCAGCACACCAGTCCAATTTTTGTATATTAACATTTTTGATAGACATGCCTAGTCTGTTAAATGTGTAATCATAGATTTCATTCAGTTTAATAAAATAACTAGAAATGACATGCCATGCCTGTTGTAATTATGCCCACTCTAATACGGTAACATCCTTTTGAATAGAGAGATTAGTACATTCCTGTATAATGTCTCCTTAAAAGCTCACTGTTACAATGATTTTTTTGTTTCTGATATTTATATGGCAAGGATTTGTGAACCTGTTAATATTTCCCAAATAAATAAATAGTAATAAAAATATGTAATAGTCTTTGGAGCTGAACAACATTGGTGCATATGTTACCTTAAAACTCCACAGAACTTCCCCTTTTCTTCAACTCCCAGTCATTGGAGCTCTTTCCTATCATCCTCACCTAGTAGATTTAAAACCAGAAGAGACCATTATGATCATCTAATCTGCCCACCTGTATTAAGACAGGCTGTAGAACTTCAGTGATTCCTATATCAAGCCAAAAATTTATGATTGTACTAGTACACATCTTTTAGAAAGGCATCCACTCTTGATTTCAAAATCTCAAGTGATGGAGAATCCACCACATTCCTTAGTTGGTTAAATCATTTTTTAAAAAGTGCCTTATTTCTAGTCTGAATTTTCAACTTCCACATAATGGATCTTTGGTAGCCTCTCGCTGCTAGACTACTCTGTTTAGGGTGACCATATGTCTGTTTTGGCCGGGACAGTCCATTTTTTAAGCCCCGTCCCAGCTGTCCGGCAAGAACAAACTGGACAAATGCTAAAAAAAAGTGGGGTGCAACCCCTTGTGTGGTGTGGAGGAATGCGTGGGGGAGGCATGATGGACAAGTTGCAATGCCAGCCCTGCGCAGAAGGGAGGGCTAGGGTGAATGGCTCAGGTGCCGTTCCAGTCGCACACGGAGAGGGGGAGTCTTAGGCTGGCCCTGTGTACGGGGGGTAGAGCGGGGCTGTGGGCCTGCCCCACGGTGTTTCACTTTTTCCCTTTGGGAAAATATGGTCACCCTAACTCTGCTAGACTAATAAGCATTCTACTACCAGATAGCCTCTCCCTGAGTAAGCACATGATAAGGTTCCCTCTTAACCTTCTAATAATACTTCTGACAAGGAAGCCAGGCTTGCTGGGATGGAAGGTTCACAACTCTTTGGAGCAGTGTATTTAAAACACCTGGGTCGGGTCTAATAGTGAATGTACAGCCAAAGGTGCTGGAACTAAGGGTGTGGGGGGTGCTGCAGCACTCCCTGGTTTGAAGTGGTTTCCATCATATACAGGGTTTAGTTTGGTTCAATGGCTCTCGGCACCCGCACTGTACAAATTGTTCCAGCATCTCTGTGTGCAGCATAGGATTGTACTCAGCGTAGCACTTTGCTAACTGAACTACCGCAGCCATAGCTGCCACAACTGTCGAAGAAAGCCTGGACAGGCTGGCCTTGGAGAGCAACCAATACTCACGAGGCAGCAGAGCCCTCCAGGCGGTTCTGGCCCGGCCACGCCCCCTGCCGTGTCCCCGCCCCTCGCAGAGATCCTGGCTTCAGCCCCGCCCCCTGCCGCGTCCCCGCCTCTCGCGGTGGGCGCCGTGCGCGCGGGCAGGAGGATGCAGTAACTGGCTGCGGGTCACTATGGGCAGCAAGATGGCGGCTGCCAGCAGGGTCGTTCAGGTAACGAGAGTTGTTTCCCCGCGAAGGGGGCGGGCCCGGCGCTCTGCGTTCGGCCGCCGAGGGGGAGACTAGTGGGATCTGCCCGCCTCTGTCGGCGGCTGGCGGCGCTGGAGCGGCCGCAGAGCGAGAGCGGCCGGGGCTGATGCCCTTGACCTGGAGGTGCCGTTAGGGAGCCGGGACGCCGGGGGAGGGCTCTGGGCAGCGGCGGGCCGATGTGTTTCTGGGCCCGAGTTCGGCGAGGGGGCGAGCGGGTCTGAGCTGCGGGGCGGGATTGCGAGGGCGCTGGGGGTCAGTGACAGCAGCGGGGGCCTCACCATTCTGGGGGCGGAGCCCGGACTGCCGCAGCCCGCGGGCCCTGTCGGGCCTATCTTGGAGTCCAGGGGTGATAGTCACTTGCCATGCAGTACCTACAACCAGGCTCCCTTCAGAGCTGCTGCCACCTTCCCGCACTGGCTTTGTCCTGTGACCACAGCTTGGCTCTGCATGAAGGTGCAAGTGCCGAGGCTCTGCTCCCACGACCCGTGGTTTTGAGGCCAGTTTAATTGTTGGGAATGGGCCACATCCACCCTAGTTGAATTGGCCTCATTAGCACTGAGTCCCCACTTGAAAAGGCAACTTACATCTTTTCATGTACTGTATATTTATACCTGCCTGCTCACTGACAGGTTTCAGAGCAGCAGCTGTGTTGGTCTGTATTCGCAAAAAGAAAAGGAGTACTTGTGGCACCGTAGAGACTAACAAATTTATTATCCGATGAAGTGAGCTGTAGCTCACGAAAGCTTATGCTCAAATAAATTTGTTAGTCTCTACGGTGCCACAAGTACTCCTTTTCTTTTTGCCTGCTTACTGTATTTTCCAGTCCATGTATCTGATGAAGTGGGTTATAGTCCACAAAAGCTTATTCCCAGATATATTTTTTAGTCTCTAAGGTGCCACAAGGACTCCTTGTTGTTTTTATTCCAGTCCTTTCCATTCTGGTTTAGCCATGTGGGCAACAGCCTGCTCTGATTGTCTTCAGCTTCTGCTTAAAGGGGCACCATTTTGCAAATCACACCTCTGTCAGAAATATGCACCAGCTATTAGTACAAGTAACTGTTAAGATACATGAAAGGAATTTGAGAAAATTCTTCTTTTCTGTTTTTTCTAGTCTTGTTTCCTTTGTGCCTTTGACAGCATTTTGTGTGTAGTAGAATTTTCTTTTCTGCTTCCTGGACCAAGCAAACAGTGGCTCTACAGTATCCTGATGTCCTCACATCCCTTTCTTCCCTACCCCTGTTGACCAGTCACCTGGTCTGTTGGACCCAGTGCTCCACTGCCTGCTTCTCTTGTGGTATTATTCCTACTGGTATAGGGATGCCAGCAAATTGCATAACTTGCAGTAGCCCTCATGAGAATTATGCAGCCTCAAAATGACCTCATGAGAATTATGCAGCCTCAAAATGACACCTTCCCAGAAATGCTTATTTGCAACTCATAAACTGCTGTTCTTGGGAATGAGGGAAAGCCTTTTTTTTTTTTTTTTTAAGAAATACACTTTGAATGAAAAAATATCTTAATGCAGATGGGGGTTGAACTCCATACCTACTAATGAATGGCTTGAGACTAATTAACTCTGTCTCTCCATCTGAGCTAATGTGAAAAGGCAGAAAGGAACCAAAGGTCCCATGATCATAGCACAAAAACCTTAGAATCCAATTTATACTGCAGTTATAGTTACTCCTCTATAGGTTATAGTTAGTTGTTTGGAAACTGAAAAAGCATTGCATTTGCTTTATAGTCTAGTACAACTCTGAATCTGAAATGTCACTTGGACAGTTGTTGCCTTGATTAAAAATAAAATATAAATTATTGTAAATCTCCCAAATCTGGTGTTAATGAAAGCACAACGCAACAGTTGTAAAAATAATTGCTTAGTGTGTAGCATTCTTGCCATGAAAATCTCATGAACTTTTACATTTTATTTACCCAAATTTATATATTTTTCCCTGCCTCCTTCCACTGCTATGTCTTGTTTTAGGTAGTCAAGCCACATACACCCTTAATCAAGTTCCCGGACAGAAAAAATAGCCCCAAACCTAAAAGTAAGTATTTCATTTGTAAATAAAACTTATACCATATCATACTTATTTGCCTTAATGTTTACATAAGGACCATGACACATTGTTTCTTTTTGTCTTATATGACTCAGTTATTTCTGAGCATTGACCTAGTTTGGTGGCAGCTGCCTGATTTTACACTTAATGCATAAAACTGAGATTACCTTATTTCCTCTGTTGCCCAGGCAGAGTTTTGAGGATCTCCATTTTTATCCTCCTACTTTAATCTTATACCATGAGCTCATTTTGCAAACACTAATCTCCATTTAAGAGAGGCTGTGCTAAACTCACTTTTGAGCAGCATGGGTTTTCAGTGAAGTTTGCTGCAAAAAGGCAGTCTTCTTTTTCCTTGCTTTGTCTGCAATATTTAAATCCTGGTGGTACCTGTGAGGGCAGTTTACTCCCACTATGTATAAGGGTAAAAAGTTTATATTTTGAAAAACAGTACTTGATCTGACTTTACTGTATATGTGTATATTACTACATTGATGCTTACAGGATACCAGTCACTATCTATCATATGTAGACATCAAAGATTAAAATGGGATTTTGTGTATTGTTATGACTAACATTCCTCTTGACTCAATAAAGTATTTGAAACAAAAATAGGAGCTGTTTTTATGAAATTCTAGCCTAATACTTCACTTTTTGTTTGGAGGCTGTGATAATTCCTGGTTCATTCCTCTTTTAATTCAGTACCTGTGAGAACTTCTTAAATATTGGAGTCAAACCTGTTGCAGTGCACCTAAAATTAAAGGATCCCTTCCTGTTGATGTCCCCAGAGCTCACCTACTCATTTTAAGGTTTTTCACTGGTGGTGGTAGAGGTAGATATAATGAACATTACAATACTATAGAATTTTGAAAAATGAGAACTTTAATTCTTGGAATCTAATGCCTTCAACCCTAGTGTTGGAAGCACTCCATAAAAACCTTTTTTAAATCTGATGACTGTACGAGAGATTGATCTTCAGTTTATGACCTTCCTGCAAAATATAGTTGGAAGCCACTTTAATTATGCAGCTGCATTTTTTTGTCACCTGTATTACTTTGAACTGATTTACATTTTTCACTTGAGTAGTTGCACTACATATTTGCTAATAAACTACCCTTTCTCTTGAGTTCGAATACCAGTTAAATCACAATTGAGAATTGAGAGTTTAAGTTTTCCTGTTAATGCCACAAAATATCTATTGGTTGGCTTGATTTTGACCTGAGTTTGAATTCGCATTTAATACTTTTGTTAAAAAATGACGTGTATTGACAGAATTCTGTGCAATGTCTTGGTCAGTTTTTGCCCACACCATCTAATTTGTATCCAGTTTCAACACTCTCTACTCTGTTGAAAATCTTTTTCAATGATGGAATAAACAACTAATTTCTCGTCTCTTCTTCTTCTAAATCTGATATGCAAGTTCTGGTTAGAGCTGGCTGAAACTCTCAGTTTTTGATTCATCAGAAATTTCAGCTTTTCAGAAGTTGGATTTGTTCTCATCACAACAAAACCAAATTTGCTGAAATATTTCAACAAATCCAGGATTTCAATTTGGAACATGGTGTTTGTGGAATGAAATATGGGAAACTAATCAGAATGCTATTTACTGAATGTCAGTTTAATTGAGCCCCTGCTGGGATTCCCAGGGTCTGTGGTCCAGCTTGACTCTTTAGCTTCCCTGGAAAATTTTGGACTAGCTTTAGTTGTGACTGTTTCGTGTGTGTGTAGATATAGACCTTCTTACCTTGATCCATGCCTTTGTCACCTCAAAACTTTGTACACTTTCAATCAATTCATCCTGCAGTGATTTAGAATATGACGGCCTGTATTTTACCATGACATGATGCTTTTGTAGTTGGCTGTCTACTTGACTGGTTGGCCTTTAGGGCTCTGTTCCGGGTTCCCTCCTCAGTCTCTGGGAAGCCTTACCTATACTGCAGGTATCAAGTATAGTTTCTTCACTGTCAACTCCTAAATATATCTCTCTGCTGCTATCACCCGCAGTGTTCAGTCCCACATCTCTTCCTCAATATCCTTGAATTAGATGAAAGTCCACATGGCTAAAATAGAAAAACTCATCTTCCTCTACTTCTTTCTCTGACCTTATCAGCAACTTCATCATCCATCTGGTCGCCTGGGTTGGCAAGCATAGTGTCGCATTTGACTCCTTGTACATTTTGACTCATTTAAGATTGCTAAATCCTGTTACTGCTTATTCTGCAACTATCTTGTCACTGCTGCTTAAATGTTGGTCTTAGGTCTGATCATTTCTTACCTGGGCAACTGCAGCCTCCTCATCTCTGGCTTCCTTGACTTTTGCATTACACTTACTCTAGTCCACAAATTGAGGCTGGGGTGTAGTAGGATGGGAAATACTGCTCCCTTGGGACTTCAGTTAGGAATCTTTACTTCCATAGGATAGTATAATTGTGTAGTCTACTGTGTTGTCAAGTCTAAATCATTTATGCTTCTAGTTCTGTTTTTTTGCCCAGAAGGATGAATGCTTTATAAATATAAACACATTGCCACTAGAATAATTCATTATCTGTTTTGACCATCTAGCCCCCATCGAGTCCTTGTATTGCTGTGCAGTGCTGACTTATATCACATTCAAAATCTTCCATCCTTGCAGCTTCAAGGTCTTTCTGACACCTAGTTTCCTACTCCTCAGCTCATGACCCAAGTGCTTATTTAGACTTGATGCTGTTTTTACTTTTCCACAAGTTATTCCATGCCTTCTCTCAGTCTCCTATGCCTGGAACATCTTTCCTGATCCTGTGCATCTTCAGTTCCTCAAAACTCACCCATTTTGGTCCATGTTCAGCAACTGACCTCCACCCCCTGTTTAGCCTCCCTGTGACCTTCATTTTGGATGTTACCTACAAACTATAGTATGTGAATTAATTAAAAATACAAACAAAACATAAAAAATGGGTATAATACAAACCACATTTTGTAATATTTCACAATTGCAACCTTCATCCAGTAGACCTGTCCTTTGTCTGTGGACAACTTGTATTGTAAACTACGTGAGTAGAAATATAATGACCAACCCTTAAAGAATCCCACACGCCTATGGCTTTGTGTAAATACAAATACACTGTGGGGCACTGCATATTCTTAATCTGCGGTTACAGCTTCCCAGTGTAAGTATTTGTAACACTATGTACTGATTTAGCTTCCGTTGCGACATCAGTAACTATCCCTTTCAATCTGTGCCTCCTCCAACTCTCAAAATTTGACTGTATCAGTGTTCTCATTGCTGTATTAGTCCCTAAAATTGAAAATAAAAGTATATGGTGAGAAGGAAGGGTTTTTAATTCATGCAAGTAGCTTTATAGTGAAAAATTCAACTGTACGACCAGTACTTTCTAACTTTTACTGACTGCACTAATGAATAACTATATTCAAGCTCTTTAAGGTATTAAAATATTCTCTGTACTTCTATACATGGTTTTGAAATCTGGGTTTCAGTGCAGGAATCTCTACAAGCAAGGGTACCACCACTCCATGCTTCAGCAGCACATATGTCTGTAGGAGACAGACCACAAGCCCTTCAAAACATTTCATCCATTAATAGAGTACAAGGCGCACCAGACACAACAGAATTAGTAAAAACATTACCTCAAAAGTACAGGAGAAAGCTGATATCAGATGAGGAGATGGAATACATTCAAGTAAGTTTTGTTATATTTGTTACTACATATGTCCTCTTTAGTTATTCACTGTGTTGAAAACTTTGCAAAACAATTTCTGGACAACATGATAAATATCCTTGCTTTTAAACTCTTGTTAACTTTACACTTACATCAAGCATTGCAACTTAGTTTGCAGTAAATGCAAACTAAGTATTCCTCAATACACAAGTTGGGCAGATAAGGTATCCCTATTTGGCAGTTCGGGATACTGACACAGAGAGGCTGTGACTTGCCCAAGGTCACACACAAAGCCAGTGACAAAATCAGGATTAGAATTTGTTTTGAAATTCGAGACTACGATTAATCCATTAAACCATGTTGTTTCAATGTCATTGCCTATTGTATTTACAATTGTAGAATGTGCAATAAATAAATATACTAATTTTAATAGAAATACAATGTACAAAGGGTTGATCCTTTCAATTATGAGTTTATTCGTAGACTGAAGAGGCTAAACAGGTAGTTTATGCCCAAAATATAGGTTGTGTGTTTAAAAATAAAAATTACAGAAACAAATATTCATGATTTATTTCACTGAAAACAAACTGAGTTTAAATGCTCCCTTATAGTGTTTGCAAACTAATATTGCAGCATTGTGCAAGTGCATGGGAGGCAGAACATTTTGACTACAAAATGGCATTCATTGTACCTGTAATTCGTTTAGTTTTGAGCACTTCATCACCAGATGGTGACAAATTGGGAGATTAGAGAAGAATATTAAAAATATTAAAGAGCTGGAGGGATGGGTTTGAGGCAAGACTAAAAACTAAATCTGTTAGCTTGCTTAGGTGATGATTAAGTCCACAAGTATTCAAAGGATATGAACATTGGTGACCGAGAGGAATTTTTATATAGGGTGGAAAGAGGGGATATAACTAGAAGTAATGGAATTAAAGAAGGTGTGAAACTTTCTGATGTTCAGCCTAAAAGTTACCCAAAAATGAGAGGTATTAAGCTGTAAAAATCTAGCAGGGAAACAGTGGAAACATCATCTGCTGGACACCTTAGATTATTAAAACAAAGAATGTTTAAACTGGTAACTTGCTTTTTACTGCCTTTTTTGCATTTTTGAACTTGGACAAAGAAAATAACTAGTCAGTTTCTTTTGCAGGCTTTTATTTACCAGTGTAATGCTGCAGTGTTCATTTTTACATGGACCTATACAAAAAGCTACATAAACATTTCTCAGATTTTGTGAGATTTTTTACAACATCTAAGACAAGTAGAAATGCTGTGTCCCTTCATGAAAGTAATAAATAAAAGGTAGAATTCTTAAATGTGCAATGACCCTGTATTGAAAACAGTACTTCCCTACTCAGTAACAAAGTGCAAACCAGCTTGTCAGCTTCCCTTTCCTTTAGTAGAAGACACGTAATTGTCTGTTTCTCTTTTACAGCGTGGAGGTCCAGAATAATTACAGAAGATACTTGTTCACTACTGTTGAATGAATTATTGTACTCACATTAAAGGCCTTCCTCACTCTATGAATGTTATAAACAGTTTAATAGCTTTAATAAAGACCCTGTATAAAGGGGTGAGAAAGATGAGACTTTAGATACTTGTCTTCTAATTTATGTTTCTGGGCCAGTTTTTCTGTTAAAGGCTGATTACAGTAATTGTCTGAATCCACTTTATAAACCTACAGTATTAAAAAGTAACTTAAGCAATAAAATTGTCAAGAATATCTAGTTGTTGATCCACAAACAAAGGTCCAGATCTAGTGCAAAATCTCTCAGGCCCATAAGATGAGCATTGCTACTTTTTATTATAAGAACTCTGCAATCTTAATGTTCTTATTTTTCAACTTCAGACAGATTTTATCTAAAAACAAGCTTTGATTCTGGCATCCAGCTGCATGATGGCTGCTTGCCCTGACAGATTAAAAGCTTCTTGGGGTGGGAACAGAATTAAGATAGAGGTGATCAACTTATTCTTGGACTAATTTTAATAATTAAAATTGTGTTTGGAACAGACTTAAACTCACCTGCCTACGGTTTTACAGAAAACTACCATTCTGAACTGATTCTTGCTTTCCTGAGCTTTAGGGGTCAGGTACATCATGGGGCTGATGGGTTTGGCCTCAAGAAGAGAACTACAGGTCTGAGTCTAAGGAGTATACTATAGAATGTGTCCAAATTTTCCTGAAAATGATTCCACTTGAGAGCTGGAATATTATCCATAAAGTTCTGTTCTACAAACCAGTTTGAGGGCCCAAAAGCACACAATGAAGTGAATGGATTTAGGGGGGAAAAAACAAAAAAAACCCTGTCTTCTGCCTTCCAAAACACCATCTTCCTCCAAAGTTCTGAAAATAAAGCCAAAAAAAAATAAATCACTTTGCATATTCAAAGTCAATTTTATCCCTCTACTTCCACTGCTGTTGGGTAATCCTATAGCAGGACCCTGGACTTCAGAAAAGTAGACTTTGATTCCCTCAGGGAACTGATGGGCAGGATCCCCTGGAAGGCTAATAGGAGGAGGAAAGGAGTCCAGGAGAGCTGGCTGTATATTAAAGAAGCCTTATAGAGGGTGCAGGAACAAACCTTCCCGATGTGACGAAAGAATAGCAGATATGGCAGGCTTGACTTGGCTTAACAGAAATCTTCGGTGAGCTTAAACACAAAAAGGTAGTTTACAAGAAGTGGATGATTAGGAAGGAGTATAAAAAATATTGCTAAACCACGCAGGGATGTAATCAGGAAGGCCAAAGCACAACTGAAGTTGCAACTAGCAAGGGATGCGAAGGGTAACAAGAAGGGTTTCTACAGGTATGTTAGCAACAAAAAGGTCAGGGAAAGTGTGGGACCCTTACTGAATGGGGGAGGCAATCTAGTGACAGATGATGTGGAAAAAGCTGAAGTACTCAATGCTTCTTTTTTTGCCTCGGTCTTCACAGACAAGGTCAGCTCCCAGACTGCTGCACTGAGCAGCACAGTATGGGGAGAAGGTGAGCAGTCCTTAGTGGTGAAAGAACAGGTTAAGGACTATTTAGAAAAGCTGGACATGCACAAGTCCATGGGGCCGGATGCAATGCATCCGAAGGTGCTGACGGAGTTGGCTGATGTGACTGCAGAGCCATTGGCCATTATCTTTGAAAGCTCAGGGCGATCGGGGGAGCGACTGGAAAAAGGCAAATATAGTGTCCATCATTAAAAAAGGAAAGAAGGAGAATTCGGGGAACTACAGACTGGTCAGCCTAGTTGGCATCCGGTATCAAGCGGAGTGCCTCAGGGGTTGGTCCTAGGTCCGGGTTTTGTTCAACATCTTCATTAATGATCTGGATTGCACCCTCAGCAAGTTTGTGAATGACACTAAGATGGGGGGAGAGGGTCCAGGTGACCTAGACAAATTGGAGGATTGGGCCAAAAGAAATCTGATGCAGGTCAACAACGACAAGTGCAGAGTCCTGCACTTAGGATGGAAGAATCCTATGCACTGCTACAGGCTGGGGACCGACTGACTAAGCGGAAGTTCAGCAGAAAAGGACCTGGGGATTATAGTGGATGAGAAGCTGGATATGAATCAACAGTTGCCAAGAAGGCTAACGGCATATTGGGCTGCATTAGTAGGAGCATTGCCAGCAGATCGAGGGAAGTGATTATTCCCCTCTATTCGGCACTGGTGAGGCCGCTTCAGGCGTACTGTTTCCAGTTTTGGGCCCCCCACTACAGAAGGGATGTGGACAAATTGGAGGGAGTCCAACAGAGAGCAACAAAAATGATTAGGGGGCTGGAGCACATGACTTATGAAGAAAGGCTAAGGGAACTGGTCTTATTTAGTCTGCAGAAGAGTGAGGGGGGATTTGATAGCAGCCTTCAACTACCTGAAGGGGGGTTCCAAAGAGGATGGAGCTTGGCTGTTCTCAGTGGTGGCAGATGACAGAACAAGGAGCAATTGTTTCAAGTTGCAGTGGGGGAGGTCTAGGTTGGATATTAGGAAACACTACTTCACTAGGAGGGTGGTGAAGCACTGGAAGGGGTTACCTAGGGAGGTGGTGGAAGCCCCATCCTTAGGTTTTTAAGACCTGGCTTGACAAAGTCCTGGCTGGGATGATTTAGTTGGGGATTGGTCCTGCTTTGAGCAGGGAGTTGGAGAAGATGACCTCCTGAGGTCTCTTCCAACCCTAATCTTCTCTGATTCTGTGCTCTTTAGGAATGCTTTTATCTCCATCTAGCCTTGAGCAAGAGATTGTGACTGTGTCAGATGCAGACCTTACCACTGTGATCCGTGCTTGTTGCTTCCAGCCCATATCACTGCAATGCACTTTTCAAAGGGCTCACCTCTCTAGAAATTGAAGGGAGTGCATTTTGCAGCAGCCTGCTGCAGCTGTGGCTCAGCGGCAACCTGTCAGCGGTTCTGGGCGAGCTACAGCGAGCGTTGGTGGATGTCAGGCAGGAGTTTAAGGCGCTGTCTCGCATTCAGGTTCGAGCTCCCATCTTCCCAAAGTTTGGTGGCCCTGCCAGTGCCTCTCACGCAGGGGGATGGGCCCAGCCCCTTGCTACCTGCCTGGTGTGGTCGGACTGTATCCGGCCTAGCCTGCCCGGCTGGGGCTTCAGGCAACCTCCCCGGCTCGGCTCTAGGGGCGGTAGCGTGGTGCCCGCAGCCTCCGCACCCCGCCCTGCGCAGCGAGATGCTGCGCTCCCCTGCAGCAGCCCCAGCTCCGCCCTAGGAACCCTGAGCCGGGCTCCACGCGGCGCCTCCCGCGGCAGGCGTCTGACGGGGCAGACTCGGAAGGGGCTGGAGCCCTGCGGCAGGGGCGATGAGCGTGCGTCGCTTAGCGACTGTTGCTAGAGCGGGACGCTGGCGTCGTGCGCAGGACGCCGCAGCCCCTGGTAAAGCGCATGCGCAGGGAGCTCGGGGAAGGGGCCGGTTCCGTGTGCAGGGCCGGAAGCAGCGGGCGTCTCAGGTAGTGACGGTTTTAAATCCCCCTGGCCCGGCCGGCTCCTTTCCCCGGCCGGTGATGGATGCGCGGGCGCGAGCTAAGCGCTACGAGAAGCTCGACTTCCTGGGCGAGGGGCAGGTGAGGTCTGCGCTGTGAGTCGGGGCGGAGGGGCCCGGCCCGGCCCGTGGGGTCTCGGCTGGGGGCGGAGGGGCCCGGCCCGTGGGGTCCCGGCTGGGGGCGGAGGCGCCCGGCCCGTGGGGTCCCGGCTGGGGGCAGAGGCGCCCGGCCCGTGGGGTCCCGGCTGGGGGCGGAGGGGCCCGGCCCGGCCCGTGGGGTCTCGGCTGGGGGCAGAGGCGCCCGGCCCGGCCCGGCCCGGCCCGTGGGGTCTCTCTCATATCCTGGGAGTAACAAGGCGAGTGGCATAAGGCCCCCTGCTACATATTATTTATACATTTGCGTTGAGCTTAAGAAGTGATGATATATAGCAGTAAATTGTGCTTTCATTTAGGTTTAGCATTTTTAGTGTGTTGAGGTAGAGGTAGTATTTGCTGCTTTGGTTGTGGTGGCATTAGAATTTGAATATTTTCTGTATATTTATTAATAAGAGGAAAGCATCCCTGTTCTGCTCTTTTCCTGTGCACATGGAGTATGTTTGCAGAACTGCAGATGTAGGGTTTCTGTTGTGGGGCTTATCCCAGTTAATGTCATTTGTTAAGTTGGGCCCCACAATTTCACTCCCATACGTAGAATGGGTTGGATTGTGTTGTTGAATAGTTTTTAGCGGTTATTTTATTGAGGGGGAGGGCAGAGTGGGGTTAAGTGTTTCTATCACAGTGACAGGTTTCAGAGGAACAGCCGTGTTAGTCTGTATTCGCAAAAAGAAAAGGAGTACTTGTGGCACCTTAGAGACTAACCAATTTATTTGAGCATGAGCTTTCGTGAGCTACAGCTCACTTCATCAGATGTTTACCGTGGAAACTGCAGCAGACTTTATATACACACAGAGAATATGAAACAATACCTCCTCCCACCCCACTGTCCTGCTGGTAATAGCTTATCTAAAGTGATCAACAGGTGGGCCATTTCCAGCACAAATCCAGGTTTTCTCACCCTCCACCCCCCCCCACAAATTCACTCTCCTGCTGGTGCTAGCCCATCCAAAGTGACAACTCTTTACATAATCAAGTCGGGCTATTTCCTGCATAGATCCAGGTTTTCTCACATCCCCCCCCCCCCATACACACACAAACTCACTCTCCTGCTGGTAATAGCTCATCTAAACTGACCACTCTCCAAGTTTAAATCCAAGTTAAACCAGAACATCTCGGGGGGGTAGGAAAAAACAAGAGGAAACAGGCTACCTTGCATAATGACTTAGCCACTCCCAGTCTCTATTTAAGCCTAAATTAATAGTATCCAATTTGCAAATGAATTCCAATTCAGCAGTTTCTCGCTGGAGTCTGGATTTGAAGTTTTTTTGTTTTAAGATAGCGACCTTCATGTCTGTGATTGCGTGACCAGAGAGATTGAAGTGTTCTCCGACTGGTTTATGAATGTTATAATTCTTGACATCTGATTTGTGTCCATTTATTCTTTTACGTAGAGACTGTCCAGTTTGACCAATGTACATGGCAGAGGGGCATTGCTGGCACATGATGGCATATATCACATTGGTGGATGTGCAGGTGAACGAGCCTCTGATAGTGTGGCTGATGTTATTAGGCCCTGTGATGGTGTCCCCTGAATAGATATGTGGGCACAATTGGCAACGGGCTTTGTTGCAAGGATAAGTTCCTGGGTTAGTGGTTCTGTTGTGTGGTATGTGGTTGTTGGTGAGTATTTTCTTCAGGTTGCGGGGCTGTCTGTAGGCAAGGACTGGCCTGTCTCCCAAGACTTGTGAGAGTGTTGGGTCATCCTTTAGGATAGGTTGTAGATCCTTAATAATGCGTTGGAGGGGTTTTAGTTGGGGGCTGAAGGTGACGGCTAGTGGCGTTCTGTTATTTTCTTTGTTAGGCCTGTCCTGTAGTAGGTAACTTCTGGGAACTCTTCTGGCTCTATCAATCTGTTTCTTTACTTCTGCAGGTGGGTATTGTAGTTGTAAGAAAGCTTGACAGAGATCTTGTAGGTGTTTGTCTCTGTCTGAGGGGTTGGAGCAAATGCGGTTGTATCGCAGAGCTTGGCTGTAGACGATGGATCGTGTGGTGTGGTCAGGGTGAAAGCTGGAGGCATGCAGGTAGGAATAGCGGTCAGTAGGTTTCCGGTATAGGGTGGTGTTTATGTGGCCATTGTTTATTAGCACTGTAGTGTCCAGGAAGTGGATCTCTTGTGTGGACTGGACCAGGCTGAGGTTGGTGGTGGGATGGAAATTGTTGAAATCATGGTGGAATTCCTCAAGGGCTTCTTTTCCATGGGTCCAGATGATGAAGATGTCATCAATATAGCGCAAGTAGAGTAGGGGCTTTAGGGGACGAGAGCTGAGGAAGCGTTGTTCTAAGTGAGCCATAAAAATGTTGGCATACTGTGGGGCCATGCGGGTACCCATAGCAGTGCCGCTGATCTGAAGGTATACGTTGTCCCCAAATGTGAAATAGTTATGGGTAAGGACAAAGTCACAAAGTTCAGCCACCAGGTTAGCCGTGACATTATCAGGGATAGTGTTCTTGACGGCTTGTAGTCCATCTTTGTGTGGAATGTTGGTGTAGAGGGCTTCTACATCCATAGTAGCCAGGATGGTGTTATCAGGAAGATCACCGATGGATTGAAGTTTCCTCAGGAAGTCAGTGGTGTCTCGAAGGTAGCTGGGAGTGCTGGTAGCGTAGGGCCTGAGGAGGGAGTCTACATAGCCAGACAATCCTGCTGTCAGGGTGCCAATGCCTGAGATGATGGGGCGCCCAGGATTTCCAGGTTTATGGATCTTGGGTAGTAGATAGAATATCCCAGGTCGGGGTTCCAGGGGTGTGTCTGTGCGGATTTGATCTTGTGCTTTTTCAGGAAGTTTCTTGAGCAAATGCTGTAGTTGCTTTTGGTAACTCTCAGTGGGATCATAGGGTAATGGCTTGTAGAAACTCGTGTTGGAGAGCTGCCGAGCAGCCTCTTGTTCATATTCCGACCTATTCATGATGACAACAGCACCTCCTTTGTCAGCCTTTTTGATTATGATGTCAGAGTTGTTTCTGAGGCTGTGGATGGCATTGCGTTCCGCATGGCTGAGGTTATGGGGCAAGTGATGCTGCTTTTCCACAATTTCAGCCCGTGCACGTCGGCGGAAGCACTCTATGTAGAAGTCCAGTCTGCTGTTTCAACCTTCAGGAGGAGTCCATCTAGAATCCCTCTTTCTGTAGTGTTGGCCGGGAGACCTCTGTGGATTAGTATGTTGTTCAGAGGTATTTTGGAAATATTCCTTGAGACGGAGACGTCGAAAATAGGATTCTAGGTCACCACAGAACTGTATCATGTTCGTGGGGGTGGAGGGGCAGAAGGAGAGGCCCCGAGATAGAACAGCTGCTTCTGCTGGGCTGAGAGTATAGTTGGATAGGTTAACAATATTGCTAGGTGGGGTGAGGGAACCATTGCTGTGGCCCCTTGTAGCATGTAGTAGTTTAGAAAGTTTAGTGTCTTTAGCTTTCTTACAACTACAATACCCACCTGCAGAAGTAAAGAAACAGATTGATAGAGCCAGAAGAGTTCCCAGAAGTTACCTACTACAGGACAGGCCTAACAAAGAAAATAACAGAACGCCACTAGCCGTCACCTTCAGCCCCCAACTAAAACCCCTCCAACGCATTATTAAGGATCTACAACCTATCCTAAAGGATGACCCAACACTCTCACAAGTCTTGGGAGACAGGCCAGTCCTTGCCTACAGACAGCCCCGCAACCTGAAGCAAATACTCACCAACAACCACATACCACACAACAGAACCACTAACCCAGGAACTTATCCTTGCAACAAAGCCCGTTGCCAATTGTGCCCACATATCTATTCAGGGGACACCATCACAGGGCCTAATAACATCAGCCACACTATCAGAGGCTCGTTCACCTGCACATCCACCAATGTGATATATGCCATCATGTGCCAGCAATGCCCCTCTGCCATGTACATTGGTCAAACTGGACAGTCTCTACGTAAAAGAATAAATGGACACAAATCAGATGTCAAGAATTATAACATTCATAAACCAGTCGGAGAACACTTCAATCTCTCTGGTCACGCAATCACAGACATGAAGGTCGCTATCTTAAAACAAAAAAACTTCAAATCCAGACTCCAGCGAGAAACTGCTGAATTGGAATTCATTTGCAAATTGGATACTATTAATTTAGGCTTAAATAGAGACTGGGAGTGGCTAAGTCATTATGCAAGGTAGCCTGTTTCCTCTTGTTTTTTCCTACCCCCCCCCCCCCCCCGAGATGTTCTGGTTTAACTTGGATTTAAACTTGGAGAGTGGTCAGTTTAGATGAGCTATTACCAGCAGGAGAGTGAGTTTGTGTGTGTATGGGGGTGGGGGGATGTGAGAAAACCTGGATCTATGCAGGAAATAGCCCGACTTGATTATGTAAAGAGTTGTCACTTTGGATGGGCTAGCACCAGCAGGAGAGTGAATTTGTGGGGGGGGGGGGTGGAGGGTGAGAAAACCTGGATTTGTGCTGGAAATGGCCCACCTGTTGATCACTTTAGATAAGCTATTACCAGCAGGACAGTGGGGTGGGAGGAGGTATTGTTTCATATTCTCTGTGTGTATATAAAGTCTGCTGCAGTTTCCACGGTAAACATCTGATGAAGTGAGCTGTAGCTCACGAAAGCTCATGCTCAAATAAATTGGTTAGTCTCTAAGGTGCCACAAGTACTCCTTTTCTTTCTATCACAGTGGAAGGTCTGGAAGGTTATTTCTTTAATTCTGATAGCCCATCTGAAACTTTGATGTATTTATTATAAGGTTTAGGTATCTATAATTTTGTCTGTTCAATCATCAAGTCTCTCAGAGAAAAATGTCCACTGTTCTGGCTGTTTACGGACTTTTCTTTTAAAAAATGGATTCTTTCCCTGCCCTGTCAAGGTTGACCTGTATTATAGTAGGTTTCTAAGAAGGAGTAAGATTCTTTGCAAATCATCTTGAGTAGATGACAGTAGAACTAGGTTCCCAGCAGTCATCTTATGAGTCCATTACTGGGAGTTCTGAATTTGGGAATTGTTCCACTGGAGTTGATAGGTCATTGATGTATGGATTGAAGAGAGTTGGTCTGATTATATTCATGGACTCTTTCTTTATAGGTCTAGGAAGTGTTCTATTTTGGGTGAGTGGGCTTTGGTTATGTTGGTTTGGTTTAAATTCTTACCAGTTTTGCCACAAGAAACTGGTATCTATTGCATCTTCAATTTATGCTGTGGTGGAGGGGTGGAGCCCTGGGCTAGCCTATGCAACAGAGGAGTGCTGTGCAGAGTGAGGATGGTGGCCATTTAAGGTCTGTACTCTGGTTAGCAATGGAATTGAGAAGGATGCTGATAAGAGATGGCCTTGCGCTGTGTACCTGCCACAAGATCAGGAAGGGGCAGTAATGGCAAATAGACACAGGGGATTAGATCCCCCCCACAGTGTGTAATCCTGTCCTAGATGGATCATATGAGAGATACCTGAGGGATGTTTTTCTCATTCCTTGGCAACACTTGTCATGCCAGTAAAGTCACAATTAGGGGCTATCATCACTTCTGTTTGTAATTGGAATATGAGTTCAGTGTTTGTGCCATAAGGATGGGGAGGCATCTCTTTTGGGTAGTTTGGGACAGGGTATGAGTATCATACTTGAGAGTTTTATCCTTTTCCTCTGGTCTGGAGGCTTTTTTCTGATTTCTGGTACATTCATCTAGGAATATAAGCATACCTTGTCCATTTAATCTAGTATCTAGTCTGGCAGAGGCCAATACCAGGTGCTTCAAAGGAAGGTACAAGAAACTCTGTAAAGCAGTGCTACTCAAAGTGGTGGTCCGTGGACCCGGTGCCGGTCCGCAAGCCATCGGCTGCCGGTCTGCGCGCACATTAGGGGAAAAAAATTGCCGGTCCCCACATCTGATAGCTTGAGAAGCACTGCTGTAAAGGACAAATACAGAATAACCAGCCCATAGGGGAAGCTTCTGTCTTTCATTATGTAGTTGGCTTTTGCACTGAACTTTGAGAGTTCTTATCCCTTTTATATCAGGATAAATATCTTTTGATGTTTCCATTATCCATGTAAATATATTAATTCTATTTTAAATCCTGTTAATTTTGGCCTGAGATCTCTTGTGACAGCGAGTTCTACATATTAATTACACACAGATAAAAAGAACCCTTTTTAAAACAGATTTAAATATGTTGTCTCAGTTATATTGAATGTCCCCTTTTTGTGTCATGAGCATATATTGGAGCCCCGACTTCCGTTCTCTCTCTCCTCCAGTCTTTTGTTAAACCTCCATCATATCTGCTCTTATTGGTCTTCTCTCCCTTTTTTTTCAGTCTGTTAAGTGGGAGTCTCTCCATGAATCTAATCGCTTTCATTGCCAATTTCTGAACCCTTTCTCATAGATCTCTTAATATAGAGTGACCTGAACAGAACCAGTGTTCCAAGTAAAGGCATTCTGTTGGCTTGTATAATATTATATTAAAAATATTTTCGAGATATTCTATCCCATACTTTAAGACCCTACCATTTTGTTTTTTGACCACTTCTGTGCATTGATCTGGCTGACACCTGTGGCTTTTCTTGAGCAGTTACAATTAATTTAGAACTCAGCTTTGTGAATGCATAGTTACTCCTTCCAATGTGACTAGCCTTACCTTCCTCAGCAGTGAATTCCATTCATCCTTATGATACCTATTCACCTAACTTTGTTAGGTCAGTTAATTAGGTTTATTAGTGCCCAAGTCTTCTCTAGTCTTGATTAACCTAAATAAGCTGGTCATGTTCATAAACCTTGTCACTTTACTCTTTTTTTTTTTTTTTTTTTTTGGTTCAGATCGCTAACAAATCTATTAAACAGAACCTTGAGTCGATCCACTGATATCCATGGTATCTTTATACAACACACAATGGAGAGTCATATAGGCTTCTGTCTGTGGGTGGGCAATTCCAGTCTCTATCCATTTATTGTAGCTGGTATCTGCCAGAATGCTGGTTCCTGCTTTTACTCCATTACTGGGAGAAGGGCTTCTGCAGAGGAAAGAGCTATGCCATGTTTGCCCCAAGTATGGCAAGATCTATTTTGATAACTCATTGGATTTTCCAGAGCTGAAGGCCCTCCACCCAAAATATCCTTTTCCCCCCAAACCTTCAAGCTTCACATGAGAGACTATTAGCACTATGTCCTAGGTGGTGGTAACTGAGGGCAAGGTAGTTTTGAGATGGAAAAGGTTTAACTCACAGAGCACTCTAGAGATAAGGATCAGCACCTTGAACTGGATCCAGAACTCTGGGGGGGGGAATGGGACATCACTGTGAGCAGAACAGTGAACATACCTACTCAGTGTGCACTTGTGGCCAAAAACCTAAACAATATTAGGATGCATAAGGAATGAGATGGAAAGTTATAAAATGCCATTGTAATATTTTCTGTATTAATCAGTGGTTTGCTCTCACCTAGAATAATGTATTCCCCTTTGTTATTTCTCAGAAAACTTCAGTATTCTGCTTGGATTAGAACTAGCAAGAAATCGCCACACAAGACACCTCTCTAGGTAAAACTAGCAAAGGGCTCATCAAATATTGCCTAACCAAGACACTTGAAAGCATCTAGCTAGTAGTCAAAGACCACAACTCATGTAAAAAAGAAGCTGATTATAACCTCTTATTTTGCCAATAGTGGTAACTGTGGAATTCACTCAGGTGGTCATTGGGGGAATCACAGCCTTTACGTAGTAACTAAACATTTACTATTTATTCAGTGCCTTAATTGACACATTCATTATCACTCAATGAGGATCTGCTCCCTGTAGGAGGCTGCTATTCCTGCCCTGTATTTTTTTCTTCTCCATCCCCCTTCCTCTGCTTCTTTTCTCTCGTCTGCCTTTGGGCCAGTCTTCACTCCCACTCCCTTTCCCATTCTAGCTGCTAAAGTGATCAGCAGTGAAATAGTTAATGTTGACGCTGAAGTCTCACTGGTATTTAGAGTTGACACACCAATGGTGAGGGAGAGAGAGGGGGAGTTCATCTTTCTCAGTTACTGTTTTGGGCTGTCTGCAAACTCAGGCAGAGACCACAATACTGGTTATGGTCATGTTTGGAAGGCTTTCTTTGCTCTCTATGAGAGGTAGAAAGTTTTTAAGTGTGAAAGCTTTGTTTCTGCACAATATGAGTGTTGTTTGGATCACACAAACACATCATAAAGGTTAGATCTGACCTGCTAGCCATATGTTGGACACCCCTGAATTAGATAAGAATGTGCACAATTGTTATAGCTACTGCTAAAGAGTCTTCATAAAACTTCATGCTTCTGTGCTTAAGCCAATCTCTAATAGCAGTTAGAGCACAGTCACGAGGGGCAGGGTTTTTTATGTTGGCCACTGCTGAAGATGGGGTACTGGACTTTAGGTTTGATCAAATATGGCAATTTCTTTGTCTCTTAAAACACTAAATTATTCCTTACCTGTTATATGGTTAATATTATTGTAAACAAGGACTACTGTTTTTTCTTGTCTTAGTTTGCCACTGTTTATAAAGCAAGGGATAAGAACACCAATCAAATTGTTGCTATTAAAAAGGTGAGTGTTTTGTGTGCTGTTATGTACGTACTCCGCAATCAGGTATCTAGTTGCTGTTGAACAGTTTCAAGAGCTTTATCCATTTAAAGAGAAGCTGTGATTATTTATTCCTATGGCACCAACAGTGTGTTGGTTGGCCAATTGGTTGACCAGTCTGAATCAGCCACCTCAAATGTTCTTTCATAATGTAAAATGGTGGCTTCAACACCATTACATTTCTAGGTTTGTGATTGGTCACCCAGCTCAGAAGCTGGAATTTTAAATATTGCAGACAATATTTTGGAGGGCTGTTAGTTTTTTATTGCATGTTTGGGTTTTATTTTTTTTAAAGTAATTCCAAACATAATGTTAAACTTTGGGTCTTCCACAGACTTGAGTATCCTCTTCAAAAGATGACTGTCTAATGTTTGTCCCCCTCAGATAGACCTTTTTAGATGTTCTGGCTATTGGTGCTGGGGAAATCTTGCTTTTGACTGTCATTTCTGTAATTTAGCCTTTGGAGTAAAATGTTTAGTGTGATTGCTCTTTTCTGATTTGAAACAACACAACCTGATGAGGTTACAATAAATTGTAATATTGAATATAAATGTTTTAGATATGCTTTGAGGGACTCTTACTAGGATGGAATTACCATAACGAAGAAGCAAGTATCCCTCAGCTTTGCCTGATAAGCAAAGTTGAGCCATTTCAATAATGCAGTCAGATTAAGTATTCATATTATACTACTACTGCTCCCATAAGGCTGTTGCTGTTTAAAATTGCCATCGAGAACAAACTTGTTTGCACTGAAGAATTGCTGAAAGATCACGCAAGGTTTTGTGGGTTAAAAAATAACTTCAGGACCGAAAAATGTTTGGCATGGGATAAATCTGGTAAAATCAGAATAGCCTGTAAATTTGAGGTGGCTTGCAACAACCATGTGGATGCCAGTCTTAATAAAATTCGTACTTGGAATGATTCACTTTCTTGGGAGAAGCCCATTACTGGTGTAATATGGCTTTGCAGGCCCAGACTGGGGTTCCAGTTACAAAACTCTTTGGTAAGATTGCATTATGTTTGGCTTTGGGAAACCTAAACACCTGTTCCTTTTGTAAATGCCAAAGCTGCAAATTCACTTTTAAAAATAAACTACTTAGCTATTTAAGATTTTTTGTTAACACTAAAACTCACTTTATCTTTGAGAAACTTATTGAGGTCTTCAGGTGTTGAGGACTGTGATTCTAATTACAGATAATACAGCACTTACTGTTTCTTTAGATTAAACTTGGACATAGATCAGAAGCTAAAGATGGTAAGTACTTAAAATACTTGTACACCATATCATGTTTTGTCTTTTTGCCTTTAGTGTGTTACTGTGAACTTCCTACTGTTGCTGTAGAGCAGTGAATTAGTTATGTCATCTGTCCTAGCTGGAAAAGTTGATAGGAATAATTCAGTCAATATAGCTACTTCTTTGATGTAGCTTTTCCACAAAAACCATACCCCAACACATACTGGGGGATGGAAAGAGAAACAAATATAAAACTCCTTATACTTTGCAGTGTTGAACATGATATAAAATCCTAGTGTCAAAACAATTGATTTCCATTATCTAAGATGAGAAGTAGATGTAAATGAAATATAAATAGTGGCAAATATATTGAATTTTAAAACTTTTCAGTTTTTAATAACCTTTGGCTAGTCACATAGTTAAATTAGTTTACAACATTGAGTTTACTGTGCCTTTAACTTCTTTCTCGTTTGATTTCCTGCCCACATTTCTGTTGTTTTTTCATAGTGCTGTTGATGTGCATGGCACACTAAATTGGTAAGAAGCTAGTCCTTTTGTATTTCTTTTCACACTGGTATCTCCTGGTTTAGTATCATTCATGTATCTTAATCCTAGTTAGCAGAAAGAAGATGATTGTAGGAAGAATTAGGCTTCAAGTATGTGTCCGTGTGGATCTCTTTGTAGGTGCATATGTGCCTCATGCATGCAAGATCAGATTTTTTTGAATAGTGGTGTCTAGCAGGGGTTGTCATGCACACTGTGCCTCCTTGTGCTCTCATGCAAGCGCATAAAAAGTAGGGCAGGCACAACCTTCCCTAAGATCACTCTGATTGTATGTGGCAGCAAGATGGAACTCAGAGTGTCCAACCCACTATTCTCTTCAGAGACCCTAAACAGGTTTTTTAAACTGTTTTGGGGAAGAAATTTATCTTCACACTTTCATGCAAATGATGTTCCCGAAAAGAGAGATGAAATCAACTGACCCCACTTTTCTCTGGGGTGAGGTACTTTGTGCCAGTTACACTTTCATGATGGATCCAAAACCTCAGGATTTCAGCTCTGGCATCCTGCGACAGGCACAGATGATGCCCCTTCTGTCTAAGGGAGAGCCACATCCCAGGCAGGTGCTCTGTGTGCAAGTCTTTCTGTGCCATGATCCAGTGCAAGGGCACTTGGCTCAAGCTGCATCTCCCTGAGCAGTCCACGCTGGTTACTTCAGACCAAGGGATGATGGTTACAGCCAGAGTGGGGCTAGATAAAGCAACATTCGCCAGCACTCCATTGAGCACTACTCACATTTTATGGTCGGGGGTGGAAAGAACGCAAAAAGAGCAGTGTTAGTACTGATGATCTGACCACCTTAACATTGAAGTCCCCAGTGCATGAGACCTCAGCACTTACAATGCTGGCACCAGTGACTTTGGTTCTTGTGCAGTTACCTTGACGCCTCAGACAATACAATAACGCCTATGCCTGCTCATAAACGGGATTCCAACTTGCATAGTTGTACTGAGCATAAGCATAGCCCTGAGACCAAAGAGAGGTCCCAGTTAGAGCACATGGAACGTCAGTCCTCCAAGAACACAGTCCCTAAGCAGCTGGGCAGAGCAAGAGACCCGACGCTGATCCCGTTTTTATGTTGGATCATATTAAAGAAGTTTCTGTATTAAAATCACAAATGAGTTTGATTCCCCATAGTTTAAATTCCAGGGTATTACTAATTAAGAGGTCTCTTGGCTTTTGGTACTGTTTCTCTCCCTCTGTGTGAAACTTGCAAGCTGCTAATTCTGTTAGTACGTTCTAAGACAGAGTGTTCTCAAAGCAATTCTTTGTAACAACAACTACTCACACAGAGAGACTCAAAGCAATACTCTGTAACAACAGAAACAGCACCCAGAGACTCCCCGCCCTTTTGTTTTATTCATCTCACTTTGTTAACAATTGTGATTAAAATAGAGACAGAGGATGTATGTGGATGGATGCTTGGTGTGGATAATAATTGAATGATCAAAGAGGTGCCAGCGTAAGAATCCCGTGTCCATCGGCTGAAGAAGGCGTCAAGTGGAAATAACCAGAGGACCCCCAGAACGCAGACTGGAATCCACCCAACAGCCTCAAGAATGGGAGAACCAAAGAACAAGATAACATCTGGCAGCACAGAGCCATCAGAAATGTGCCATCTGCTGATTGATTTAGCAACAGCATGATGAAGCAATTCCCATAGACTGGCATAGGAAGAAATTCCTATAAAAATGAACTTTAGAAAGTGAGAACTTTGGGGTCTGATTCTGCAAACCAACTTCCAGGAGCATCAGATGAACATCTGACAAGGCCCTGCTCCCTCCTCATGTCCAGGCCACCTGGCCAGTGGCTTGCCATGAGCAACTCTAAGGCTGGTAACTATGATGATAACCTTCAGAACCCGTGTGTGTGTGTGTATGTATGAATGAATGAATGTGTGAATAAATATGAAATTGAATGGAATGTTATAGCTATAACTAACTGCTTACTATGACTCTTTCTGTATTCACAATAAATGTGGCATTTTGCCTTTTCCCCTTTAATAGGATCCTGCTGGTTTTTGTTTTATTGGTATAACTACTGTTACTTGTGATGGGGCTGAGCAAGGACCTAATGCTTTCTGTAGATGCACCCATATATCGTCCGCAAATGTTCCTAGTACTGAAGAGGTGGACTGGACTAGGACCGGTGCCTTGCCAGCCCCCTTTGAAGGGGATATACACACCTTGCCATTGCCTGTATATTCTTGTCAGCATTGAGCAGAGATCCTTTGCCCCTGCCAATGGAGAATGATCCTAAAGAGGGCACAAGGAAGCCCTCATTCAGAGCACCGAGTGCTGCGCCAAATGGCGTGGGAGTGACACTGGGTCAGCGAACACAGCTGGTACCCATGTAGTGTTCCATCTTGGCCATATTGGTCTTACTGGGGCCTGTCCTCCCGCACCAGATGATCAGAAGGTTGTGGTGCCACCTCCTGTTGCAGAACTGAATTGGTGGAAGGAACCCAGGAACATTCATAGAGTGGTACCATCAAGTACTGGTTGGGAAGCCCACCTGAACAATCTACAAATTCAAGAGATTTTTGTCCTCCGAAGACATGGGGTTCCACATCAAGCCATCAGGTTAGCCTGTAATCCCACAGTGGATATCTTGTAGGACGACAGCTCTGTAATATGCTACATAAACAAATGAAGAGAGAGATGCTCATTTCGTCCCTGCCTGGAAGCCATCAAGCTCTGGACATGGTGCCACCAATACTGGAGAACGTCAATGTCTCCATCTCCCAGGTGTCGGCATCAACCTGGCAGATTTCCTAAGCAGGCAGACAATTACCACCGTGCCACGTGCTAGAACTTTTGTCCAGAGTGGGCATGAGATTGGGGTTGCTAGCAGGTGCCTTCTTTCTGCAGTGGTCCCAAGGCCTATCTTTTGCCTTTCCACCAATTCCCCTGACCCTCAGGATGACTTCCAAAATCAAAAGGGACAAAGCCACGATTATTCTCATAGCTCCCTGCTGACCGAGGCAGTCTTGGCTGCTACAAATGTCCATCCTGCCTCTGATCCAGCTCCCAGACTGCCTAGACCTCCTCTTACAAGACCATGACAAGATACTCCATCCAGACCTGAAGCCCCTGCATCTGTTCTATGGCTATTGGCTAACTAAGTACCACAGATATAGAATGCTTCCTACGGGTCCAGGAAATCCTGATACATACCAGGAAAACATCTACCACAATATATTCATCTAATTGGAAGAGCTTCTCAATGTGAGCATTGGTCCAGGCCTCAGTACTGAACATTCTCTGACTTGTTGCATTTAAAATGGGCTGGCCTTTTGTTAATCTCTTGGGGTCCACCGTACATCCACCTATTCAGTGGTGCTGGCCTTTTCTCACCCCGCAATATCTAAATTTTTCAAAGGGTTGCTGCACACTTACCCACTGTTCAGAGAACAGAATCCTGCCTGAGACCTCAGTTTAGTCTGAGTCTCATGGAGACCTCGTTCCAACCTCTCACAGAATGCAGCTTACACCACCTACCTCTGAAGATGGTCTTCCTAGTGACTATTGCCTCAGTCAGGAGATTGAGTGAGCTTCAGTCACTTATGTCCAAACCTCCCCATACCACATTACATAAGCACAAAGTGATGTTGCAGCTTCACTCGAAGTTGATTCCTAAGAGTGTCTCAGAATTTTATCGAAGCCAGTCAATCAGACTTCCTTTGTTTTTTTTCAAAGCCACACTCAGCACTGGGAGTGTGTGCATGTCCATGACTTGGCTTCATTATATTGACAGCACCAAACCATGCACTTCATCTTTCTAGCCATAGGTGGGCACTTTAAAGGTCAACCTGTCTCTTCGCAAAGAATATTGAAATGGATAACACAATATATCTTGCTGTGTTACTTGCTGGCTGGTGTATCTCTCCCATCAAACATCATGACTTGCTCCACCAGAACACAAGCAATATCCTCCACTTGCTTTAGGAATGTTCCAATACTGCTGCCTTAGACTTCTAATGTGGAGTAACCCACTAACATTTGTCAAACGCTGTCTTGGACTTAGCTACCAGGTCAGCTGCCAAGCTTGGGAGAGCAGTATTTCAATCCCTGTTTTACTGATATAGCTGCAACTTATTCCCACCATCCTGAAGAGGATACTACTTGACTGTCACACACAGTGGGATCGACACTAACATGTACTTGAAGGAAGAATGATTACATACACTACAATAACTCTCTGGTTCTTTGATATCTTATCGGTGTGGATCGGACAGGTTACATGAGGCACAGAGTGCATATGCTGCCATGATGGACATTGCTATTCAAAAGAATCTCCTCTCTCATGGATGATGCACATGTAGAACCACAGTGGGATCCACAGTTACTGCTGGGTAAGTAACCATTTTTTAAAAAGCCTTAAAATTGTTTGATAGGTCAAGATTTGGTATACTCTTCTAGGTCTCTGCCAAAACTTCTCTATTTTGCCAAAAGGGGGCATACACTGCTATAGAAACAATCACATCCTAAGGTGTGAGAATTTCCACCTACTTGTAGATGTGAAGTATTTACTGTTGTCTGCTATGACAATGATGCATACCCAACTTTGAATTACAGTGATGTACTTAGTTGCAATTCTACAAACTTAATGCATTTTTTTTCTTGCTCTGTAGTCTAGATCATAATTTCTCAAACAATCATAAATGACCAACAACATTTAAAAGAAACTGAATTAGAAATTCTTATTGGTAGCTAAATTGAAGTTTTTATTTGCTGCTCCTGCCTTTGATGTGATATTTCTTTCAACGTAGGAATCAACAGAACAGCCCTGAGGGAGATAAAATTGTTACAGGAGCTAAGCCATCCAAATATCATTGGTGTAAGTATAAAATGAGTACTACTTGTGGCATCTGCAGTATGTCAGTCCCTGAATGCTGTAGATATAAAACAGTATATCCACAAAGACTTACTGCTGTGATCATGGAGATCTTTATCTTAATTCTTATACTGGCCATCTTGCAAGTTGGCAAACCATATTAACCAATAAAATATTAACTTTAATAAAAAGGCAGGTCTCAAAATCCACATGCATTTTTGCCAAGGGTTAGTTGGAAACTTTTGCTGTTTAGGTGGGGGTAGAGTTGCAAATCCTGAAAAATTCAAATTTAAAAATAAAATTGATTGTGAATCAATGCAGTGTGGCATTTCCCTGACTTTTTGCATGTTGTCTTGCCTCTGTGGCTACTCCACTTTCCTAAGCAACAGCCTGGTGAAACTGACAAGGTCTGTTCAGTTTCACTAATGCTATTTAAAATCCAGTGGGCAGCAGTAATACTTGTAGTTCAGAGCATGCATTTTTTTAGTTTTTTGACTTTCAGCTTCAGATAAATGTTTGTAAAGGTAAGTACTAGTGATGGGTGATTCTCTAAACGGTTGGTTCAGATAGACGTACAAAAGTTCAGGTGCTTTATTTAAATATTTTCCATGGAAGTGTACTGTTCTTGCTGGATCTCAAGCCCATTCTTACAGCGTTTCCATACTTGTAGCTGAAACCAGGAGGTGCTGAAACACATGAATTAAAAAGCAGTTAACTTGACTGCAAACATTCAAAAAAGGCTTTAGCTTGTATGTTCTCTAACTCATTTCAGCATCTTTACTAGGATGGGCAAAACTGTTTGAGTCTTTGACAGATAACTTGCAAACTTAGACGTTCTTAATTGTCCACTTATGAACTGAAGTCCTAAATGCTGAATTATGGCCAAGAACAGTTTGCCAAAACCATACAAAACTGAATCCATGCAAGCAGGGACCACGGGTGGCTGATAATAGTGGGGGGGCGGGGGCAGAGGGAGGCATGCTCAGTACAAGCCAAGCAGCAAATGGGGAGGGGGGGAAGGAGGCATGTGACCCTCCCCTTATGCCTCCCCTCTACACTCAAGAATAGGTAAAGCATTTTTGAAAGAGCAAGAACAAGGAAGAGACTCCATCATGCTCTTATCTGCTCTGTTAATTTTTGATATAACTCCCACTGTAGTTCAGGCTGTGAAGGTAATCCTATTTTATAGGAATGTCTAACTCTGTTGTTAAAATATTCTTGGTAAAATGTAGTAATTCATTGATATATCTTACTTTCCACAACCAACTCTCTGTACAGCTTTTCGTGAGTGATGTACCCAAATACTTGGATGCTAACATTGAACCTGTATTGTTAAATTTATTCACCTAAATTTGGGGTTTTGCTGATTATGTACTATATGTCATAACTTTTTAAACAAACTTTACATTTGTGGATAATCCTAGCACTATACCCAGACATTCAAACACTCTTTTCTTAACCTGTGTATTATATATTTTTTTTAACATCTTTAATAAATTTTAATTCTGTACAACTAGTACACCTTCCATTCAGGATCTGTTTTTTACAAAGACAAATTTAAGCCCCTTAACTTCCTTGTGAAGTGGGTTGGACTGGTCATTTCTACTTTACTGATGGGGAAACTAAGACAGCGTTTGTAATTTTCTTGTGGACACATAGCAAGAAAGAGAGAGCCTGAATGTCAGATTTCCCCATACTGCCCTCTAATCGCTACAGTATGTTCTCTTCCCTGTATGTGCAACCCTGCTCCCCCATCCTGAAAACCCTCACAACACATACTGAAGTGTCACAGCATTAAAACATTAAAAGTACTCTGCAGTCAAATATATTTTTCATTTTGTGGTGTATTTTGGTTTTCCAGCTTCTTGATGCATTTGGACACAAATCCAATATTAGTCTGGTCTTTGATTTTATGGAAACAGATCTAGAGGTAAGACTGCTTTAGCTGTTGCCTTCTTTTGATTCAATACTTGGAATGTTTTAATTTTCAATATTGTGTACAAAACCATTGAAATACTGGAAACCGTGATAATGTATTCCTTTTTCATATTGATATGCAGATGGTATCTCCAAGTAAATGCATTCTGAAAATACTTATATCAAGAAAGATTAGTAATTTGTATTTGTAAGACATCAGAATCTGTAACATGAATTAGACAAATACAACTTTGTCAGTTCAGGTCGTATCTTTTTAAAATCTGTTTTATAGTATATTAACATTCATGCATTCTTAATTAGGATGCAATGCTTTACTTTTTAATACTGCTCTAGACTGTCAGTAGGCTTTTGTCAAGAAATAGTTTATTAATCTCATATTTGTGTAGTATTAACGTTTTGAGACCCCACTCATAGACCAGGACCTCGTTGTGCAATGTACAATCAGTTACTGAATTTTGTAATTAGTAGTAATAGGCATGCAATCCTGTTTGAATCTGTTCTGTTAACCTGTGAATTGGGTGCATTCCAAGAAATATAGATCATATATTATCCATGGATAGTTTTCTGTTTTGCTGATGCTTGATCCCTATTGGAGTCTACATGAGTAAATCTTCTCAGGGGATTTGATATCACATGTTTTGAAGAATGCATCAAAATAAAGACTGTAGTAGGCAAGAGTGCATGTTAAGTCGATGGTTGTGCATGTGCAGTGACTGTCCATGCTTTATAGGGAAAAGAGCTTAATTTAATGGCAGTAATATGTTATATATAATGCAGTGAGCAGCAAGAAGAGCATATACAAACATTAAAAGACTAGTTGTCTGTTTCACTAATATCTGTAATGCCTGTCATAAAGGAAGATCTGCTTCAACTAGAGGAATACAAGATCAAAACAAAGTTAATATATTACTAAACAAAATGAAAGTTTTTTGCTAATAGCAATGTTTACCTTTTCCTTGATGATGATGTGCTCCAAATACTCATAGGAAATCAAGCTGAGACTTGTAAAATATCAACTATTAGTTTTGATCTATGTATTTTCCTAATATGTTTACTTAGTTTTGAATTTTATAGATAAGTAAAGTTAAATCTATTTGTCTAGTGACAAACTAGGACAAGGAAAAACAAAGCATTCATTTGTATTTTGGTAACATCCAGAAGACCCAGCTGGGATCAGGATCTGTAGTGATTAGCACTGTACGACATATAAGAACATAAGAATGGCCATACTGGGTCAGACCAAAGGTTCATCCAGCCCAGTATCCTGTCTACCGACAGTGGCCCATGCCAGATGCCCCAGAGGGAGTGAACCTAACAAGTAATGATCAAGTGATCTCTCTCCTGCCATCCATCTCCACCCTCTGACGAACAGAGGCTAGGGACACCATTCCTTACCCATCCTGGCTAATAGCTATTAATGGACTTAACCTCCATGACTTTATCCAGTTCTCTTTTAAACCCTGTTATAGTCCTAGCCTTCACAACCTCCTCAGGCAAGGAGTTCCACAGGTTGATTGTGCGCTGAGTGAAGAAGAACTTCCTTTTATTTGTATTAAACCTGCTGCCCATTAATTTCATTTGGTGGCCCCTAGTTCTTATATTATTGGAACAAGTAAATAACTTTTTTCCTTATTCACTTTCTCCACACCACTCATGATTTTATAGACCTCAATCATATCCCCCCTAATCTCCTATTTTCCAAGCTGAAAAGTCCTATCCTCTTTAATCTCTCCTCATATGGGACCCATTCCAAACCCCTAATCATTTTAGTTGCCCTTTTCTGAACCTTTTCTAATGCCGGTATATCTTTTTTGAGATGAGGGGACCACATCTGTATGCAGTGTTCAAGATGTGGGCGTACCATGGATTTATATAAGGGCAATAAGATATCCTCCATCTTATTCTCTATCCCTTTTTTAATGATTCCTAACATCCCGTTTGCTTTTTTGACTGCTGCTGCACACTGCGTGGATGTCTTCAGAGAACTATCCATGATGACTAAGATCTGTCTCCTGGTTAGTTGTAGCTAAATTAGCCCCCATCATATTGTGTAGTTGGGGTTATTTTTTTCCAATGTGCATTACTTTACATTTATCCTCATTAAATTTCATTTACCAAGTTTTCATATAGAAAACTTAGTGCAGTCTAAGAACTATTTTAGATATTTTACAAATTTCAACTTGAATTTTTAAGCATGTTGGGAAATGGAAGCTACTGTAGGAGTGCAAAGCATTATTCGTAGAAAACAAGTGGAGGGAGCAGTGTGTAGAGGCAGAGAGAATGTTTAAAAAATAGGATGGAGCAAGTTCATGAAAGCTATACAAAAAAGTAGAGGCCATTTTTACTTGGATTCTGAAACAAGTGGATTTGTTAAAATGGTAGTCAATAGGTCATACCTACATGTATGTGCAGAGAGCTCTTGTACTCTGCCAAGGCTAGAGTCCTGGAGCTATATTGAAGGAAGGTAAAATAGTTCAGGCAGAGCACACACAAGTATAAATGAGGATTTATGTGAGGGACTTACCGCAATAGCATATGCGGTATATTTTGTTGAGGTGGTAGAGTTAAGCATATTCCTTTTGCTTAAGTGAGGCACTTTAGCTCTTGAAATAACTAGCTGGAAGAAGTTGAGATTTCAGATCAAGCTTATGTGGTCATGCGGGTAGAGAAAACATGGAGTCAATATAAACTTAACACAAATATGGTATCCGGAATAGCTGTGGTCTCCATTTCAATTTCCATTCTCCAGTGTAGTTAGCTATAACTTTTTCTAGAGAAACTTAAGAATTTCAACTACTTTTTACATAACTCAGTGGCATAGAGTCTTATTAGCAATTGCACCATGTAACATTCAACTTTGCTTAAAAGAAAATAGTAACATTAAGCAAAAAGAATTGTAATATAATTAAACATAGTTAGATTTTTGGTAGAGAGTTTCATAACGTGCTTTTTCCCAGGTTATAATAAAGGATAGTAGTCTTGTGCTGACACAATCTCACATCAAAGCATATATGCTGATGACACTTCAAGGACTGGAATATTTACATCAGCACTGGATTCTACACAGGGTAAGTAAGAATATTCTAAAAGGAACAAAGTCCCTTTCAGTAAAAGAGTTGCTAAAGGAAACTTTACACCCTGTAACAAAATGGTGACACTTTTTGGTAGAGCTTAGTTGATCCAAAAGTAATCTCTCTCTCTCTGTAAAGTCCATGTAGCATAGTTTTATAAAAGGGCGGGGGGCATGGGCGGGCGCTGAGGGGAGAAGGAAAACTTTAGTGGTTTTTATTATGGAGACACAATTCCAATGCCTGCAGCCCAATAGCTGAGAAACCCTACAATAACAATCCACTGTACAGTTAGGAAAGTATTCCTATTTACTTATGAAAGTCTTCCATTTCAAAATTGCAGTAGAGTACTGTATAATGGTACTTTAAATCTTTTGATTGCAACTCTTATCTTGGCTGTTCTGAACTGGAAAGTACCAGCTTATTGTGATGAAATAAATGACTAAATGGAGTTTAAAAAAGGCTGGTTTCAAGTGTGTAGTAGAAGGCTGCTAAATTCCTAGTTAATATATTTTAAAAATCAATTCTAATAAAACTAGTGTACTGCACTTCAGGGAGCAAATGCATCTCTAAAACTTTTGTGGTAACTGTCAGTGTAATGCCACAAAACTAAATTGCTGCTCTTTGGCAGCAAAGATATGGCCACACTTAAATCAGCTTTTTAAAGGTGTTTGGAAAATCTGCAGCTCAAGTAGCAGAAGCACTACAGCCAAAGACACTCATAGATGTAATGCAAAGTTTATTTTTGCAAAAGGGGCTTTCTATAAAGATAGAAGCTTGTCTCCTAGAATAACTTTAATAAAAGAGTGCCGGGGAGCTCCTTATTAGTCATGCTTTTATTGATACAGTAAATTTTATTGTCTCTGTCCCTTTCTTGACAGGATCTCAAACCAAACAATTTGTTACTAGATGAAAATGGGGTTCTAAAATTGGCTGACTTTGGCTTGGCAAAATCTTTTGGAAGCCCAAATAGAGTCTATACACACCAGGTAGTAACAAGGTAAGAAATAAAGCACTCTGCTTGGCTGTTGGATAGATGGGTATCTTGTAAAATCTGCTCTGTGCACAAGCCCAAGAGCTAACTTTATAAGAATGTGGCAATGGGAACCTGAATAACTGCTATAAAAGCTGACCTCAGTGCTTTGCAAGGTTATCTAATTGCTTTTGAGAACTGCCAGTAAAAAGGATTTTTGTATCTGTGTTGGTCCCAGGATATTAGAGAGACAAGGTGGGTGAAGTAATATCTTTTATTGGACCAAATTCTCTTGATGAGAGAGACAAGATTTTGAGCTTACACTGAGCTCTTCTTCAGGTCACATGTGTAAGCTTGAAAGCTTGTCTTTCCAGGAGAGTTTGGTCCAATAAAAAAATATTACCTCACCCACTGTCTGTGTAAAAACGATTATGGAATACACGCCTATACAAGATCTTCTGTAACTCTAGTGTAGTCTTTTCTTCAGAAACATAAGGAATATGTACACTAGTCTTGTAAGTGTGGTTGTAGTTAACTTCTGAAACAATGAGGCTTATGCTTTATTTTTTATATATTAATCAGATTATTTGCCCTAAATGTAGTATTCCTAACCACTCACTCATGTGCCTCTTAAGGTAACTAAATGGTCTTAATTGACAACAGATAGACCTGTTGGTTTTTTAAATATTTAATATACACGTCTAAAAACAGAGTGGGGGTGCAAGGCACAACTGAACTGCCAGAATATTTTTTTCGTTTGTCTACACTAATATGAATAGTTGGGATTTATTTTAAATGTCTTTTTCTAATGGAAGAAATGGAAGCTAGATTGTTATAGATGTTTGATTAATGGAAGAAATGAGATGATGGTTCCAAATGTTGGCTATTATGCCATCTACTAAGTTGTTGTTGAATACTAGTGTATTCATCACTGCAAGCGGAATCTAATTAAGATGTTATCCTCATGTGTCAGGTAAACTGAATTGTTTTAGGCAGGGATACTAGCTACTTTGCGTTACTATTAACTGCCAGGATTCATTCTACACAAGAATCTCAGCACTTAGATCATCAGTGGCTGTCTCTGTCACTTTTGAGGTCTGGATATTGGCAGGAATTTTGATGCCTACTTGTTTTGTTTCCTGACAAATAACCTTGATCGTTTTTCGTTTATTCAGACTGCCAGTTATCCTCTGTCTTTTGAGTTTGCACTCCAATTGTTTGCTAAGTGCAAATATGAACTGCAATTTCACTTCATTTTGGGGAGGTGTGTACAGCATTGGGATGTTGAACCACATCCTTAAAGGGAAAAAAGGTCTCTCCAAGATGTAGATCTTTTCAGGAATTAAATTGATGATAAATATCTAGGGAGTGAGCAATAAACATTCTCTAACACTTCTGCTCAGTTAAATACTTTATTTATTTGCATTACTGTATTATACAAATTATCCTTGCTTGAAAGTGTTCCTGCTTGCTTTTCAGGTGGTATCGAGCACCTGAGCTACTGTTTGGTGCTAGAATGTATGGTGTAGGTGTAGATATGTGGGCTGTTGGCTGTATCTTAGCAGAACTGCTTCTTAGGGTAAGCCTTGAACACAAATATTTCTGTTAATCTATAATATAATGTAGCTCTTGTACATAGGTTCTTATGTACTTCTTTAGTATTTTAACCTTTGACATTTATAACCCCATACTATCTATTTTAATTAATCATGATCAGAAATCTGATATCTCATCTCAATCACTTTTATTAGCAAAGTCATGCATTGCTTGTATATCACTAGTGACTCTCAATCCATATGCACTGAAGTTCAAAGTCTAGGAATGTTAAAAGTATGTACTAACTTTCCATGTGTTGTCCTTCCCCTACTAACCATGGATCGGCAGAACAAAGTTTAATGTCAACATCTGTCTAACTTTAAATGTGGTGGTTCTCAGATTTTGTGCATGGATCATAGCTCTTCCTTGCGCTTTGCTTTTTTTTTTTTTGCTAGTGACTAACTCATTTAAGTGTGCCCCTTACAATACAGTTCCTTAGGAAAAAAGGTGGAGGAGGAGAATAAAATTCTTTCCTCTTTTGTTCAAAAAGCTAAACTCTCTTTAAAGTAGGATAAGCTTGAGAGAAATGATGTTGATGGAAAGGGTAGTGTCCTATTGGACCATCTAATCCAATCCTGCAATGCAGGATACTGCACTACAGCATACTTGCTGTTACTTTGTCTAGTTTTAGACAATTTTAAGAAACTTTTATCCAAAATGTCTCTTAAACAGAAAACACTGAGAGGAAAATATAAACTAAATGTCACAAAAACATTGGGTGTCCCTTTGCCTTGATTTTTTTTAATGAATATCTTAGTACACTGACTTTTCCGTTTTGATTTCAGTTACCCTCACTGTCATCTATTAATGTGTTAAGCGTGAAGAATTAGATAATATTAATAGTCACCTTATTCTTCAACTTCTGTCGCAGAACTCTATCTTCTGCCTTTGGCCTAATTCAGTCTGCCATGTACTTACAATACACAATTTCCTCCTCTGCTTCCAACGTAGTTTAAACTTGACAAACACTGGTTAGGCAATTTCTAACCCAGTGAATCAGTACCCCGTTAGTTTTGCTTGAGTGGAGATCATTTAATTCCTAGTATTGTCATCACAAGATTCATTTGGAAGTTCTGAATACGAAACCTAGATAGTCTCCAATATCAGTCTTCCTCTTTCTTCCCTAGTTGTGGGCATTGGAAAGATCACAAAGTGACTGAGGAAAAAATTAAAACATGCAACTATACAGATTTAGGTTGCTTAACATGGTATGTTTAAATCTTTAGTAGGTTAAAAAGAGGCATACTACCTTTGTACAGTCTCACTTACGTAATGGTTGTTTAGCTTCATAATAGAAAATCTAGTGATGAGGTTAATGATGTCATGCATAAATGTAAATGGCATTTGAAACCTATTTTGACATTATGGTGAAGCCCCAAGCATTCCATCAGTGCCCGTCTACAGTCAGTTAGTATCCAAAGCTATGTTACTGTAACAGTAGAATACTTTCACAAAGGGAAAAATCAAAGTTGTTCCCTGGGAGTCCAAGTTCAGAAGTTGATTTAAACCTTTAAATTAAAATGGCTGTTGCATTTGCCTTCTTACAGGTTCCTTTTTTGCCAGGAGACTCTGATCTTGATCAGCTGACAAAAATATTTGAAACGCTGGGGACTCCAACAGAAGACCAGTGGCCTGTAAGTCCTTTAGTTAACAAACCTATCTCAGCATTCTCTTTTTATATTACTGTCAACTGCTTGAATTACATTTAAAGATGTACCAAAATATTTGGTAATTACTTTAAAAAGATTGTTAGCGGAATTTACAAAACAAAGTGCAGAGGACAGTTAGTTGGGGTTTCCAAAACTGCTATTTGGATTAGACACCTGCTAATATAATAGCATGTGGTAATTTAAGAGTGAAACTAGAACTTCTCATGATACTTTCATCATATGATGATAGCCATGGGACACATGGAAGAGTGATAATTTAATGCTTTTTCATTTAATCTTGTTTGATGTAGTCAGGTAGTTTGTAGGCATTTGCAAATGCATTTTGATTCAAAACAGTTATATGCTGTCATACCATAATTCAAAAGGAAGTGTTTAAAGATTCTTGCAATATTTTATCATGTTCTTGGTGCTTAATGAAAATTTTATCCTTGAAGAAATCCTTGTTGGTAGGATACTTGGCCAAAAGAGAGGATATATTCTGAAATTAATTCACAAATCTTCAAAATTAAGAACCTTCATTCCCTCACTTCTGTAAACTATACAAGAGAGATGTAATTCATTCATTCATCATGTTTACTGCCACTTTAACATGCTGTGGTGTGCTTGGTTAAAACTTACTGCAGTATAAATGATGTTGCTAGAAATATTTAGCATCATTTGGCTATTAAATTTATCAATGTAACTTTGTATGATATTGGGGGAAGAAGAGAGGTGACTTGCAAACTGGATGAAAACAACAGTAAGATATGCATTATTGCAACTTGAACAGGTGTTAATCTGTTTGACTCAATTCTTTTTTCAAAATTATTCAGTTTCCCACTCCAGAAGCAGTTGCAGAGTATTACTTATGCGGAACATAGTCTCCCATGTTGTTGATGCAAATGACTTCCATGTTAGAGAGGCCAACTTAAATTGCTTTTGTCTGAAAATCTTGTGTGTTTTACTGCAAATCACTCCTAAGATTACAATAATGAGAGACTAGAGAGGAAATTTTTTTCAATTTTGTTAGTGCATTTGATCCTCTTAGGGAATAATCATTTTTGTTGTTTCCCTTCTGTAGTCATTAACTTTCCCGCTTTGTGGAGCTCTTTACACTGCATAATAGGAAAAATCCTTTAGAAAGGGGAGTATGATTGTAAAACCACAACATTGATAAGTTTGTTACCTGAAACTAATGAAATAGTTTTTATTAAACTGACTCAATTTCAGATTGACAGTATGCTTTAAAAGTTGACTATTACTTCTGATCTATAAGCTGCACTGTGGCAGTTCCTTCAGTTGAGGGTATAAGCTTTTCTTTATTTGTTGTTTTAAAATTTAATTCCCATTTTGTTTTCATAGGGCATGTCAAGTCTTCCAGATTATGTAACATTTAAAAGTTTCCCTGGAATGCCACTTCAACATATCTTCAGTGCAGCTGGTGATGACTTGCTAGATCTTCTCCAAGGTCTATTCATATTTAATCCTTGTACTAGGGTCACAGCTACACAGGTATGGTGGACTGTCTTTATTGTATGTTATAGATGGTGTACATTCGAACATCTCTTGTTAACATCAGTTAAATATCTCTTGGATGTGAGGAGTGATAGTTTAGGTTTGAGATAAAATGTCCTCTTACTTATTTGTATTATAGTACATAGGAGCCCCTGCCATGGATGAGAACCCCATCTTGCTCTGATCATATAATTACTATAAAACCTTCTCATGCTATGGAGACTTTCAAAGGTATAAATGGCAGTTCGAAGTTAATGTCTGTCTGCCACTTGTCTTTGAAAATCTTACCCTACAGATCTAGGTTGAAGTTATGAGGATGAAAGATTTGGGGCTCCTAGGCTTTTTTGACACTTTAATTACATCCTAACTTTGCAACACTATTTTCATTACCACTACCATAGCTCCTAGGAGCCCTAGTCATGGGGCAGGATCCTATTGTGGGCACTGTACAAAGAACATAAAGATGGCTCCTTCCCCAAATGCGCAGTCTAAGTATAAGATGAGACAATAGATACAGACAAATGAGGGAGTACAAGGAAACAGTGATTCCGTATGGGTCTGCTTGATAGTCTGTGGTATCAGTACACTGTTCAGCTACCTGGTGAACTTTGAGCTTTACATGTCTTCATATAGGACCTTCCATCCCTTATTTTATAAATGTTTAAATCATAAATTCATATTAATATTCCATTTTTCTCAGTTTCTGTTGCAACTCTTGACCCTCCTTGGTTTTTACAGTGGGAGCCTTATCCCAGAATTTTCATCTCAAATCTCAGGTTTCAGAGTAGCAGCCATGTTAGTCTGTATTCGCAAAAAGAAAAGGAGGACTTGTGGCACCTTAGAGACTAACACATTTAATGGAGCATAAGCTTTCGTGAGCATCCGATGAAGTGAGCTGTAGCTCACGAAAGCTTATGCTCCATTAAATGTGTTAGTCTCTAAGGTGCCACAAGTCCTCCTTTTCTTTTTGCATCTCAAATCTGTTGCTGAAAGTCTGTGACAACTTTTCTTTGTCACTTTGTGGGGGGATGGATCCATATATTCAGTACTGATGAGTCCTTTAGCCTCCATGCTATAGGAGGCAGTCAGATGTTTTGATTGGCTGGGCTGACTCTCCAGGTAACTGCTCTCACTGGGAAGTAGTGACTCAAAGATTTGGGGGCTTTTGGTGGATAAACAGATGACTATAAGCTCCCAGTGTGACACCGTGGCCAAAAGAGCTAATGTGATCCTGGGGGGATACATAAACAGGGGAATGAGGCATAGAAGTAGAGAGGTTATTTTACTGCTGTATTTGGCACTGGTGTGACCTCTGCTGGAATACTGTGTACAGTTATGGTGCCCACAATTTTGAGAAAGGATGTTGATGAATTGGAGAGGGTTTAGAGACAAGATTAGAGAACATGCTTTATAGCAGAGGTTCTCAACCTTTTTCTTTCTGAAGCCCACTTGTGTCACAATAATGGGTTTTCTGCATATAAAATCCAGGGCTAGTGTTAAGGGGTAGCAACAGGGCAATTGCTTGGGACCTCATGCCACAGGAGCCCCCACAAAGCTACATTGCTCAGGCTTCAGCTTCAGCCTCAAGTGGCAGGGCTCAGAGCCTGGGCTTCAACCCCATGCAGCAGGGCTTCGGCTTTCTGCCCTGGGCCCCAGTGAGTCTAATGCTCGTCCTGCTTGGTGGCCCCCTGAAACCTGCTTGCGGCTCCCCTGTGGGCTTCGGACCCCTGGTTGAGAACCACTGCTTTATAGTAATAGACTCAAGGCGCTTGTCAAGGTTCCTTCCCCACTCTGAACTCTAGGGTACAGATGTGGGGACCTGCATGAAAGACCCCCTAAGCTTATTCTTACCAGCTTAGGTTAAAACTTCCCCCAAGGTACAAACTTCTACCTTTTTGTCCTTGGACCTTATGCTGCCACCACCAAGTGTGCTAAACAAAGAACAGGAAAGAGCCCACTTGGAGACGTCTTCCCCCCCAACCCCTACACCCCCTTTCCTGGGGAAAGCTTGATAAAAATCCTCATCAATTTGCATAGGTGAACACAGACCCAAACCCTTGGATCTTAAGAACAACGAAAAAGCAATCAGGTTCTTAAAAGAAGAATTTTAATTAAAGAAAAAGTGAAAAGAATCACCTCTGTAATCAGGATGGTGAATACTTTACAGGGTAATTAGGTTCAAAACCTAGAGATTCCCTCGAGGCAAAACCTTAAGTTACAAAAAGACACACAAACAGGAATCTACATCCCATTCAGCACAACTTATTTACCAGCCATTTAAACAAAACCGAAATCTAACCCATATCTAACTAGATTACTTACTAAGTTCTAAGACTCCGTTCCTTTTCTGTTCCTGGCAAAAGCATCTCACACACAGACAGACCCTTTGTTTCCCCCGCCTCCAGCTTTGAAAGTATCTTGTCTCCTCATTGGTCATTTTGGTCAGGTGTCAGCGAGATTATCTTAGCTTCTTAACCCTTTACAGGTAAAAGGACTTTGCCTCTGGCCAGGAGGGATTTGATAGCACTGTATGTAGAAAGGTGGTTACCCTTTCCTATTTATGACAGAGCTCAAGCTATTTATCTTCTCAAAGAGAAGATTAAGAGGTGACTTGATTAGCTATAAGTAGCTATACGGGGAAGAAATATTTAATAATGAGCTCTTCAGTCTAGAAGAGAAAGTATAACACCATCCAATGGGTGGAAGTTGAAGCTAGACAATTTCAGACTGGAAATTTTTAACAGAGTAATTAACCATTGGAACTCAACAGTTTACCAAGGGTTTTGGTGGATTGTCCATTACTGACAATTATTAAATCAAGATTGGATGCTTTTCTAAAAGACCTGCTCTAGGAATTATTTTGGGCAAGTTCTATGGCCTGTGCTGTACAGGAGGCCAGACTAGATCACAATGGTCCTTTCTGGCCTTGAAATGTAAAAAGCCCCTCCAGAATTTTCTCTGCCTCCAAAGACGCAGCATGCTAGGAGTAAGGGCCTTTGTAGGCTGTCCAAAACCTGATGAATTTTTTTCTTTTCCTCTTTTTTTTTTTTCCCCAGCTGCTTTTTTTCCTGAGCCAATCTACTCTTTTCGTGTATGGCGTTGCTGAAAATATTTTCCAATGGGCTCTAAAACTGATCTTTGCAATCCCTTCCTGGCCACCCTGTTTAGGATGGGATGGTAAACCTAGTGAAGACAAGTATCAGGGGGTAGCTGTGTTAGTTTGTATCCACAAAAACAACAAGGAGTCTGGTGGCACCTTAAAGACTAGCAGATTTATTTGGGTATAAGCGTTCGTGGGTAAAACACCACTTCAGATGCATGGAGTGAAAATTACAGGTTCAGGTATTATATGACGACACATGTGAGGTAACTCCCTTCCCTTCAAGTGGAGAACCAGTGTTGACAGGGCCAATTTGATCAGGGTGGATGTAGTCCACTCCCAATAATAGATGAGGAGGTGTCAATTCTAGGAGAGGCAAAGCTGCTTTTGTAATGAGCCAGCCACTCCCAGTCCATATTCAAGCCCAAATTAATGGTGTTAAATTTGCAAATGAATTTTAGTTCTGCTGTTTTTCTTTGAAGTCTGTTTCTGAAGTTTTTTTGTTCAAGTATAGCTACCTTTAAATCTGTTATAGAATGTCCAGGAAGATTGAAGTGTTCTCCTACTGGCTTTTGTATGTTACCATTCCTGATGTCCAATTTGTGTCCATTTATTCTTTTACATAGGGACTGTCTGGTTTGGCCAATGTACATGGCAGAAGGGCATTGCTGGCACATGATGGCATATATAACATTAGTTCTAGTGAAGACAGCATCTGACTTAAAAGTCCCCCCCCCCCCCCCCAAAGTGTTCACTGACAGAAGGGTGGAATGAGCTCTCTGCAGAGACTATGAAGAATTCTCAGCAACCCATAGAATAGGGTTGATAATGGTCAGGTTTTTTGGGTGTGGTTTTTTGGGGTATTTTTTTTGCCAAAGCAGTAAGCTTTGTTTTTTTATATTCTGAGTTCATGCTCTCTGACATTCCAAAAAAGGGGAAAAGGGCCAAGGAGTTGGGATCATCCTTAGAGAATTTCCCTTACATCTGCTCTACTTTGACACCTCCCTTGATGCTTTCAGGTCATCCAGCAGATAGAGGACTCTAGCATAGTGGCAAGAAGGCTTCTATGACTGACTGGGTGTGGAAGGTGGATATTTCCTCAAGACAGGTTTTTGCTACCAGAAACCTATGTTTGGGGGTGGGGCAATATAAAAAGGTAGATCTAAAGCACAGGACAAAACCAAAAAACCTTTGTTAATGATAAAGCTCAGTACAAATTTTAAACCATTTTAGGCATCCCTTTTGGGGTTATGGAGCTTCATATAGATAATGGTAGGACAGATGACAGATTCTTTAAGAATAGATGGGAGAATACCAGGCCTATTAGATGCAGAGGTGACTCATTCTCTGTGAATGTCTCTAAGAGCAATCAGTGACTACCTCCCTCCAATATTCCGCAGGGGGGAGTGGGAGCTTGGTTGTTTCGGGGGTTTTGGTGGTTTTTTTTGGTTCCCACCTGGTTTGCTGCCACCACCATGGACAAATGATTGACACACACCATTTCCAAATGTGGTGCTACAGAATTCTAAAAGACCCCTCTCCTCCCCTAGCTGCCCAGCCCATCCCAGAGGAAGGCTATGCTCAGGCAAATCGACAGTCTTCTCCATATCAGGGTGAATGAGCCTGTCCGAGACCAGGATCAGTATTGGGGCTTATAGTCCATACTGTTCCTGGTTGTGAGGCAATCATGGAGGACAGGGCTGTCCTGGATTTAAAGACTCAATAAGCTGATCCACTTCCACAAGTTCAAAATGGACACTGCTCCTGTCTGTCATGGTAGCTACCACAACGGGGATTTCCTAATCTTTTTTTTGACCTCAAGGAAGCATATCTTCACGTTTCCATCATTACACAGACGGTACTTGAGGTTTGCATACAGCACTCTGAAAATGCAGTATAAAGCTCATTTTTGGCACTGCCACTGCCCCCAGGGTAGTCACAGATACTAGGGGCATCTCTGAACAGTATCTGTATCTTTTTCTCAATGGCATTCTGATGAGAGACTTCCGGAAGAAGGAGGCTCTTAAGTACACCCAAATGACCAGGGCAGAAACATGGATTTATAATGCATATGGAGAAAAGCCAGCTTGACCCTACCCAGACAATGGAACACCTGGGAGTTTGGCTGAACACCACACCTCACAGGACATTCCTCCCCAAAAACGGGCAAGTACAGATTCTGGAGAAAACATACAAAATCCTTCACAGTCAACACTACTGTATGAAGATCTTCTAGGCACTTTCATTTCATGCATATACCTACTGTTATGGGTAAAACTGCATTTCTGGTGCTTGCAGTACTGCCTACTCTGCTTTCCTGCTCACATTCAGAATTTCAACTCTCACTATAAGACTTCTCTCCACACTAAAAGGTCCCTCGGATGGCAGTTACAATAAGATTCACAGACTGTCTGCTTGGCAGAACCACAGAGACTCCATAATGATGGATGCCAGCTCGGAAGGATATGGAGCTGACGCATCTCCACACATGGTACAAAGTCAGGGTCACTGACAGAATCTCACTACACCATAAACAGTTTTGGAATTGCAGGTGATTCACCTAGCCCTTCAGGCATTCCTCCCCACCTTAAACTCAAGACACATACTTGTATTCATAGTCAGCATGACTGCCATAGCATATGTAAACAGATAGGGCACCTGGTTGAGCCTGCTAAAAGCAGAAGCCACATCTTTCTTTGGATGGACTGAGAGAAACATTTTGTCACTTTGAGCCGCATATCAAAGGGCAGCTGAATGCCAGTGATTGGCTCAGCTGCAAAAGCTCGGAGCAGGGGAAATTGTGTCTTAATTGTGTCTCCACCAGAGGTGTTCAACCCCATAGCCCAGACCTTTGGAAAACTAACATGGAAGCTCCTAGGCATCCAGTTCCAATGCCAAAAACAACTCCTATGTCCGGAAGTGAGATCGTCAGGCCAGGGGAATCAATGACTTCTCCCAGGTATGGCCAACAGCTCTGCTATGTGCATTCCCTTTTTTTTCCCATAACATGCACCATCTAACAGACAACCAGATGAAATTCTGATTGCACCCCACTGGCCTGAACTTCCCTGGTTTTCATACATCATGGAGATGTTTGTGACCCCCTCCATCAACATTACAATGCACCCAGGATCTACTATCATAGGAACCTCTGCTCCATCACATCACAGCATCTCTGAAGCTGGCAGCCTGATTATTGAGAGGTCACTTTAAAAATAAATGAACACAACCCCCTACCCACAAACTAGTAAATTCCAGTGATGTGTTCTCAATCCTACTCAAGTCCAGAGTTTTCAGCCAATTCTTGGTATACAGTAACACAGAGAAGATTTTATTCATGATGCATGTTGAGATACATGGCAGGATCAGCATCTATATTTAGAGAACAGTCTCTTAGTAAAACATACGCTTTGTTCGTTCTCATACAGGTTTAGGCGACAGAAAGCTTTGAGTTCCTCTACCACAAAGTATATATATTTTGAAGCGAATGGGGAAAGATTTTCCAAGACATGTAAAACTAAGAGGTAAACTCCTCCATTCAAGATTAAAGCCAATAAGATAATGCAGCCTCATTGGCTGATGGTTCCCTGCATATGTTTACTAAATTCTAGAAGATTGGTAGACTTCGATCAGATGAAGTCCAGATTTCGACAGGAGTTCTGCGAGCTATAGCCTACCCATAGCCCAGCCAACAGTTGATAGTGAGGGCAGGACTACTGCAACAGAAATCCCACCACTGCTGAATTTATGGATCCATCCCCTGAAATGAGAATGAGAAATTTTCTCATTCTCATCTGGAAATTTTCATTCTGGGTAGGTGATATGGGTTCATAAATTCATCCCATCTCTGTGTTTGTCTACTTCTGGAAGGTGATTGGTCAATTGTGCGCTTGATCCCTCTTTAGGGAAGAGTGGATGGATAACCATGCTCTTAAAAGTAACCCTCTGGGTTGTCAGTTTTTTGTTTTTTCCCCCAGATTGTACAGTTCTTAGTTGTTTGACGTATTTTCTGCTATTGTTAATATGTGAATGAGTATTTTTATTCATTTCCTTCTTCTCCTTCTGAACTGTGGTTTATAGAAGCTGTGGAATTGAAATCTGCTTTAAAGTGGAGGGGTGAGGAGGGTAGAATTTAACTTCCATAAAATGTGTCAATTTTACATATCTGCTTCCTGTGTGTTCAGTTCCTCTGTGTACTCAGTAACAAGCTTTTCCTATTGGCATTGCAGAACCCAGAGCGATTAGGGAAGAGTAGAACAGAACCCAATTTACTTTGTAAATCAACATAAGGATGGTGTTCCAGAAATCTGGCTTCAATTCCTGGCTCTGCCAGAGGTGTCACTGGTGACCTTGGAAAAGTCAATCTCTGTGCCCCTTTCCTTTTCTATCTTGTCTATTCAGATTGTAAGCTCTTCAGAGCTGGAACAGTCTTAGTGTACATGTACAGCATCTGCCACAATGGGACCAGGATCTTGGTTGGGGAGTCTAGGCACCTACTGTAATACAGATGATAGACAAATTATTTCAACTGGTAAATTGAACAAACTGTATGGAAGTTGCTAAGAGAATCTGAAATCTTGGATTTTGTAGCTACTCTTGAGTTTTCAGTCTTAGAACCCCGAGAAATGTCTTAAGTTATAAGCAAGGAGATTAAGAAAAGGAAAGAATATAGCTTCAAATCAATTTTGTGCACACTATTAACTTGACCAGCTTTCTCCCCTTTTTATCTTTAAGGCATTGAAACAGAAGTATTTTAGTAATCGACCAGGACCAACACCAGGAATTCAATTGCCAAGACCAAACTGTCCTGTAGAAGCCTTAAAGGAACAACAAAATTCACTTTTAAATTTAAAAAGGAAGAGAACAGAAGGAATAGATCAAGGTAATTTTTCTTCTAAATCTTTGCATTTTTATATTTTTAATTTTAAACTGAAGATGCATGATAAGTATATATGATACTGTCCCAATGTTTAGGGAAATGTGGCCTATATATAGTCCTCCATCTTATCAAATGAAATATTGCTCTCTAAATGGGCCAAATCTGAGCCCAAAACACCAACCTAAGCCCCTTGGTGACTTGTAGTATTCTTTTTACAAGAGGTGTACATTGTTAAAAGAAATCTTGTATTCCATGTAGATTCTAAGGTGTAGAAAAATTTCTGTATCACAAGTTCTGTCAATATCCAAAACTAAACTACAGTATTTAATACATCTTATCCTATGACTATTACCTGACTGAGAAGTTCTCTTAGATCCTTATGTAAACGGCATTACTTAAATTTTAATTGAGACATTTGATTGAATTCATTGGAAATTCTGAGCATTTTAGGACTGGTGTACATTAAATGTTTACTTCTCTGGTCTGCACATTCTTAATTTTATAGCCAGACTTCATCCGACTACTGGCCTCTACATGTTTTCATATGTAGAATGTACCTGCTCAGAGATCCTGAGCTTTGAGAACCTTTTGGACAGCAGTGCCCTCTGGAGCTGCACAAACAAAGCCTTATAGTACCAGATGTTTTGAATCAAGACCATAAAGGATGATATGGCCTCTACCACTTCCTTTTTTTCCCCCTCCTGGCTGAGAATCTGTGTCTCCAAACTCTCTCTGTATTTTTCTTAAATTGTGCAAAATTTAGTCATTTTGAATCAGACCTCTGAAGTTTTGGATATGGTAGATTTAAGCACATTCCCATTGTTTGCCCTGCTTAGGGGAGGATAAGATCTATACTGCAATTTTAGAGCCCTGCACCCTTAGTCCCACAAGTCTTAGTCAACTGAATAGGCCAGCCTGGGGTTTTTACTACAGTGTAGACATACCCTAAGTGATAGTGTAGGCAAGATCTAAGTCCTTCTATGGCTTTTCTCTGACTTTTAACAAAGGGTAGGAAAGCAGTCTAATAACTTGGCCTATTCTACACTACAGATACAACTAATGATTGTAAATTCTTCAGAACAGTGGTAGAGAAAATGTTTGTCTAAAACTCCTTGTGCAGTTTGGCATTAAATACGTTGGTGAGCATGGTTGTCAGTGACTTGTAGTGTAGATGGGACCAAACCATTTTTAAACAAAAAGCCTGAGCTTATTTATAGGATGGTAGGAGACAGTCATGTTTCAGTAGGTCACATTGGTAGTGTAGGTGGACCTCAGAAAAGAGGAATGGAGTAGTGCTGCTATCCTGCCAGTCTCTGGGGCAAAGTCTAAAATAAGTCTAGTAAAACCGCTAAGCAGACACTGAAAGTGTCTTCATTTCCTCCACTGTGCCAACATGCTGCAGTTACTGTGAAACTGGAAAAACTTACTATCTTCGTTACAATACCACCACCCAACCCATTGACACCTGCAGCTTTTTTTTTCCCACTAAGCTTAATTCTATTTTAAACCTTTAGCTTCTTATGTCAAATGGAAGGAAAAACATGTGGTGTCTAAAATGTTTCATGTCACACAGCCTTGCACAAAGATAGCTTGGAAACGTTTTAGGAGTACAAAACGCCTTTCTATAAATATAGCTTAATTTTATATTGCATGTCTCGTGTAAACATATGAGAAACGTTCTGGACAACTTTTTTCATGCACGGTTATGGCTGCCCTTATATGAGCCTGCTCCAAGACTAGACAGGGCCTAAAGAGTAGTTAGGATATAGCTACAAGCCAAAGCTGTGGATGTTTATCCAAGCTAGCCTAGGGAGCAGTGCAGGCATCAGTGTGGGCTCAAGAACTGAGTGCAGAGGCTGGGTACATACGCAGCTCATGAGTCCCTACTGATGCCTGTGCTGTCTAGTGTTACCTGTGCGAGCTGGATTCAAGCTAGCTGTGATAAGCTAGCCTGTTCACAGCTTTTGCTGTTCAGACATACCCTACATAACTAGTAACACCTTGAGTTGGGGATTGGGACCTTTACCTCATTTATCAGTATTGATACAAATTCAGTTACTTACACTACAAAATTAATTTACCATTTTTCAGGATTACCAAAAAAATTGATTTTTTGATTACCGTGTATGACGATGATTAAATGGCCTGAAAGACCAAGACAATGGGAAAATGCTGCAACATTACCTGAACTTGGATGAAAACTGAATTTGTAATATATTTACATGTGTAAAATGTGAAACTTAATATTTCAGTGCTGAAACCATGTGGGGTGTTTCATTAAACCTATTCCTCTTTGAATAAATATATTTTTTAAAAAGAGCAAGATTCTTTGAACTGGTTTTCTGTGTAATTACTTTGAAATGTGCTTTTGTAGTAAGTATGGGAAGTCTCCTTTATCACCATCGGGCTTGGATACACTTGCAAGTTAAAGCGCATTAAAGCAGCCCTGGGTGCCCCAACTCACAACCTGTCCACACTGGCAAGGCACATAGAGCGCCTGGACTCTGCAGCTGGAGCGCTCCTGGTAATCCACCTCCACCAGAAGCATAACACTTGGTGCGTCTCAGCTGAAACGCCCCAGCATCGGTGTGAACGAGGTGTTGCATTACTGCGCTGTGATCGGCCCCCATAATCCCCTTAAGTCAAATGGCCACTCTTGTCATTGTTTGGAATTGGCTGCAGGAATGCGGATATGTCCTTTCAAAGCTCCATTTCTGACAGCCAGCATGCTTATCTGCTCCGGGACAAAGCAACCATTACTGTGGAATGCCGCTTGAGAGGCAGGGGGAGGGGAGGTCTGCTGCTGTCTGAACTTATAAGACCGTATGCTGACATGCTCCCCCCCCAAAAAAAACCCACTCTGTCCTCCCACATATACACAACACACTCCCTGTCACACTACACCCCCGCCCCCCCATTTGAAAAGCATGTTACAGACACTTGCATCCTGGGATAGCTACCACAATGCACTGCTCTCTGTGGCCGTTGCAAGAGCGGCTAATGTGGCCATGCCAGTGCATTTGAATCTGCCAGTGTGGATGCACTGCAGCGCTTTCCCTACTGTGCTCTCCAAGGGCTGGTTTAACTCCCAGCGCTCTACATCTGCAAGTGCAGCCATGCCCTTAGACTCTAACTTGAGATGCAGGCTTTGCTGAATGAAGTGCTATGCTGGTGCAAACCCTACTCTAGGAGAGGGCCCAGGTGAGGAGCCTGTGTTCAGATGAATGTTTGTTAGCCCATATACAGTTTGTTTGTTTTTCCAGCCATCCATACTAGACATAAGGGGATGCCACAGTTTTAACTTTGTTCCAGTTAAATCTGCCAATGCAATAACAAATGGGTGAGCGCATGTTCTCGTAGCAGACATGTAGATGAAAAGTCTTCAAGGGCTATCCATGCCGAGTTGCGAACTACAAAGAAGTACTCCTCACTTTGATCCTCCAAAAGAACCAACTTACTGGAAAAAAGAAATACAAATATTTGGACTAGAATATGGAGATATTCTAATACTAAGGAGATGAAACAAGAAGGCCTTGCAGCCTACAGAGCTGCAGTACATTTAAAAAGGAATGGAGGGATGTCTGAAGAGTAATGTGGCAGACCTCCATATGATGCTTATGACTCATATTTGGACAATACGATGGTTATGTAACGGAGTACAGTATTCAGTCATCCCAAGAAAACACTAGGGGGGAAAATATCATTGTTTCCTATATTACTGTGTACTGACCACTAGTCATTTAAAATTAGCTTTAGATCTCCTCTAAGACTTAATGGACTCCATATGTAGATAGAAATTCATATTTAATAACATTTGGTTTGACAAATTCTGTTCAGAAGTTACTTTAACCCAAAAACAGAACTAATTGTACATGTGTAATAAGTAAACAATTACAAGCTCAGCATTCTGATAGAACAAATAGCTGTGTACTCATTTATAGCAGGCTTATACTCAATGCACTTATCTGAGATCACACTGTGTAGGAAGGGAGGTTCTTTTATAAACTCACTTTGCATTCAGCTTTCATGAGGTAGTTACTGCTCCCTGCTGGATTTCAGGGCCCACAAACTGTTCTGAAATTTAAATCTCTAGCCAAAAGCAGGATGCAAAATGAGAATAATACCTAGCTCTCGGGTGTGGTGTAAACTGTTTGTAGAGCAACTAAAAGTGCTAAGTGTTATACAAACCACATCCAGATTATTTTGCACTGCATGACCAGGAGGAATTGCTGCAGGTGCACGAGAGCCAGAAGACATTGCCCAGAAGTCAATTTACTAAGAGGAAACATTCTCTGATGAAATAAGTAATGCCTCTTGACACTTGTATTGTTTGAGGAAAAGATTGATTAAATGGGGCCCTGTCAGTTGTGTTTTTTTAGTTACATAATGTAGGTAACAACCTTACTTCACTAAAGCACGCTGAGGTTTCACATGAGCACCGGTGAGTCTGAGTCATGTTGCATGTAGCAGTAAGAGAATTATAATGCTGGAATATACAGCATCTTCTCCAGATTTCTTTGGGGGAGCAGAGAACTTTTCTTTCCCTCGGAAGCTTGGCAAGAAGGGCAACTGCCTACTAGAAGGAATCTGTGATGTGTATAAGCCAGAGGAGTGGGATTCATGAGGTAAAGGCACTTGGAGGACTCTTCTATCCTCACTGCTGGTCAGCTGGGGTAGGGGATGCCTGCTTCTGGCAGGAATCTTCACCTTCTCAAGGTCGGGCCTAGTTGCTGTGCCCCCATGGGAGGGTTCCCCTAATTTGTAGGTCAGTGGAATAGGATCTCCATCATTTCTCTTCCTCCTTTGGGTATATCTATGTATAGGGTAGAAGGTATGTTGGCTGCCATGTTTAACCCTAGTGCTGATGGGGCCTTTTGTAATTTTAACATTGGAGTGGTCCAGGTGCATACTAGGTTCCCTGCTGGGTTTCACCCAACCAGCTGCACCCTCTTCTGTACGATTTTAAAACTCATTTGCTTTCATTTTAAAAGTTTTTTTTTCCTAGTGTGGACAAAGCCCTTGAGCAACCCAGTCCTTCATGGTGAGAAGGATAGGGTAAGAATGAGTCCCTGCCCTGTTTTGGGGGGGGGGGGCGGGGAGAAGAAAGAGTTAACAGCTGTGGGCTGGGCCTTGTAGATGGTGTGAAGATTTCTGAAAAGGGAGGCTGCTTTTGAGCAGTAGACAAGGTAGAGAGAGAGAGCCTGGGTGTTGAATAGCTACACCTGCTACTCCTGGGGGGATTCTGCGAGCCTGCAGAAAATGTTCCCCTCTTCCCTCACCCCCCCCCAGCCCCAATTCCTGTGCTTTCCTGCAGAAAATGGGAGAGAAGCAAAGGGAAGCCATGCAGGGGGGTGGGGGAGGAACAACCATGGTTGCAGTTTTGGGGGGGGATTGCCCCCAAACAGAGGCAAGGCATGAGGGGCCCACAGGGTTACATGTCACTGCCCCCTTCATTTCTGCAAGCATCGAGCTGCCCAGCTGAAGGAGGCTGCCTCTGCTCTGCTGCCTCTGCCTCCTGGGTCTTAGTGCCAGTCATTCACTCCTTCTGTGTGCTGGGAGTCTTCCTATTTTCTGTCCAACAGAGACTGCCCAGGGTGGGGCTGGGTTAAGAGGGGGGGTTCAGGTGCTGTGGGGGGAAGAGGCAGTGCGGAAGGAAGGGGGGTGGAATAAGGCAGGGGGAGGGGAATGGCTGGAGAAGAAAATGGGATAGAGGAATCACAGGGGGAAGCAGGATCCTAGCATGCAGCGTCCCCTCGGCAGCAGCTGAGGCTCCCCCATTAAGCCATCCCATCAAACCCTCACCCTAACAAGCCCTAGAACTGGACTCCTCCCAGCCCCCCATACTCAGACTGATCCCCAACCAGCTGCACCTGGACATCCACCCCATCAAGCCCCACTCCCCTGGCACTTAGACCCCTAATTGAGTTCCCCTCCTGAGCCCCATCTTCCCACACCCAGAGCCCCCTGCAGAACGCCAACCAGCTTCACCTGGATCCCCTGTAGGGTCCCTTTTGTACCTGGAACCCCCAATGAGCCCCTGTGCATCCAGATCTCCCACAGAGCTGCCCACACCCAGATTGCCCCACACAGAAACCTCTCACACCACACCTGGATCCCCCTACGCTAAGCCCCTCCACAGTGGGATCCTGCTGGGCTGAGGCTGCTCACATCTGGTGCGCATAGCACAGAGAGGCAGGGCCCTAGGGTGTTTCTGGGGCAGGCCCAGCCCTTGCATTATGTCAGGGTCACTGCTGAGTCCCTGATCCGGGGCAGGTGGGGGCTTCAGGGTGATCTCCCACCTCAATGCAGTCAGTGGCCTGTGCTCCCCACTGCTATACTAGAGCCACATTTATTTATTGACACATAAAATTTGCAGAATTGTGCAGCATTTTAAAATATTGTGTGCATAATTTTTATTTTTTTGGTGCAGAATTCTCTTAGGAGTAATCTGCTAAATATCTGCATGTGAATTAAAGCAAATATTTGGCCAACTGAATATCTGAATGTCCTATTCATGCTGGAACATCCTTGACTCTGCTGAACTAAGCAAGGACCCAAATACTAGCTGCTGGCTTAAGTGGTTCAGAATGCAGTTGTGACACCCTGGCACCCCAATATTAATCACGGTCATATAATTAGGATATGTTTTGCACAAAGTATGCTTTATGAGGTATCATTCTAAAAGTCTTGATCTGCTAGACAATATCTCATTGGATTGTATGTGCTATCATCATATGTGAAGTTACGAAGTTTGGCTATGTACCTTGTGAGGTTGAGAACACCCACAAACAGCCTTTCAGGTATGACAGTAAAAAAACCAAACAATGCTAATGGCTGATTGAGGAAATGCACGCAAGCACAAGGATTACCCCAGGAACTGTGTACAATAGCAACCTCTCAGAGCTAGCACTACACAATGGGAACTGTTTGACCCAGCTTCACAGCAAAAGAGCTTTCCAGCAAGTGAGAAAAAGATATTAAAGGGGGACAATGACTTCATAATGGTACTTCACTCTCCCTACAACACACCTGGAAACACCGAAGGAAGTAGGACTGAACTGTGGGAAGTGATGGTCCCAGGCTAA